GTTTTTAGTTATACTTTTTAGAGTAGAATTAATATATATATTTATCTTTAAGATATTCCTTATAGTTATTAAAAAAGTATCATAGTTAATAGAGGTATTAATAATAGTTACTTTCTATATATAAATATAAATAGTTATTTAATTTAAATTTTAATTTATAGTTTTTATTATATTATTCTCTTAAAGTACTAAAGAATTTAAGTATCTATTTATTCTTTATAGAATTAATCTTTTTATATTAAAGGTATTTATTAGCCTTTATAGTTTCATTATTAAAGTCCTCTTTAGAACTAATATTATTAATATTAGGTTTATACTTATAGATAGCTTCTATTTAAATATATTATTAAGTAATACTATAAGGTTTATCTAAATAGTATAATAATTCTATTAGGGTTTTATACTTAAGGAGGCTATTAAGTTACTCTTAAGGTTTATACTTAAGTTTTCTATATCTTATAGTAATAATTTATTTATTAAAGAGTTTAGAAATATTCTTTATTTTAATAGTTTTATATTTTAATCTATTAAGGTCCTTAAAGTATTATTCTATATATTCCTTAGAATTTAAATAGATTTTATAGTTATTATTAAAGTAGGTAGTCTAATTAAGTCATTTATAAGTTACTTTAATAGTAATACTAATTTATCTTTTTGTAAGTATTAACTAAAAGTATTCCTTTTTAAGTACTTTATATTTATAGGCTAAATACTTAAGCTTATTATAGTTATAGTATTTTTTATCTTTTTTTTTAGTTATTATTCTTATTACTATTATTATATTAAGCTATATTAAGGTCTATAAGCTTATTATAATATTTATAAGTAATATTATTATATTTATTATATTAATTATTATTATAATATTAAGGCTATTATTAATATTTATAGCTAAAGTTAATAAGTTATTATTATTTATTTTTCTCTTTATATTATTTATATAATTAGTTATTAATCTTAATAATAAGCTTAATATACTAGAGGAAGTCTTTAGGTTTATTAAGCTTAATAATTTTATTTTTAATTTTATTCTTAAAGTTATTATAAAATATAAAGATCTTATTTTTATTAATTAAGTTTAATTAAATATAGATTTATTAAAACTCTATAGTATAGTTTTTAATTAATTTAATTTACTTAAAGTAAAATAAGTCTTATTTAGCTTATTATTTCTTATTAAGGTTTTAAAATAAAGACTTTAAAGTAAACTTAAAGCTTTAAAAGCTATTAAAGATATCTCTAACTTTAATAAAATAGTAGTTAAATATCTCTTTATTAAAGTACTTTTTAAAAAAAGGTTTAAATTATTAAAAGACTTATCCCTTAAGAAAAATAAATATATAATAACTTTTTTAGTTTTATTCTTAAAGTTATTATAATAAAAGTTTTAATAATTTTTAATTTAAATAAGAAATCCCTTAAGCTATTTTAAAAATTTATTAAAAGAGTTAAAAGAGTTAAATTAAAGCTTCTCTTTTCTCTTTATAATAAGAATAGTAATAATATTAATAATAGCTTAAAGAGTATAGTTCTATTTTCTAAGCTTTAAAATATATTAATTAAATTATTAAAAAGCTTCTTAAAGTTTTTTAATAAAATAGAAATTACTATTAAATATTTCTTATATCTATTAGATATTATAGTTAGCTTATTAAAGTTCTTCTTTTAGAGTATTATTATTATTATTATTATTATCTTTTTTTCTTTAGTTCTTAATATTTTAAGCTAAGTTTTTTATAGAGGTTTTATCTTTACTAAAAGAAGAATTAATATTAAGGGTTTTAATAGAGGGTTATAAAGATATTATAATACTATTAGTAGTTCTTAAAAGGTAACTTATTAAATAGGCGTAATTAAAGTATTATAGCTAGCTAACTAATAATAGGGTTTATATTAATAATAAGTTAAATAATAATAATAATAATAATTATTTATTATTCTATAAGTTTAATTAAATAATTATAGGTCTTTAAAGGGCTTAATAATTAATTAAGTTTTTAATAAGAGTTATAGAGTAATTATTATTTAAATATAGCTAAAAGTCTTAAATAAGAATTATAAATTAATTACTAAAGAGCTATAAAAGTTTAAACTTAAATAGATTTAAGTCTATTCTATATATAAGTTCTAAATAGTATTTTCATTCTTTTTATTAATTATATTATTAATATTAATAAGTACTTAGTTAATAGTTTTAACTAAATATTTAGTTTCTTATTTTCTTTACTTAGTTTTATTTTATTATTATATAACTTATATTATAGTTCTTTTATTCTAAAGGATCCCTTTCATTTTTATAATTCTATATTTAAAAGTATTATTATAACTACTTAGCTCCCTATAGGCCTCAATCCTATTAGTTATACTTAATAGGTTATAATAGTTAATAGTTTTAAATATATTAAGTATAATTAGGCTTAAATTAATTCTTATTATTAAATAATAGCGCTAATATAGGAAAGGTAATAGATAACTACCTAAGTAGATAATAGTATGCTCTAGACCTTATACCTACTAAGGTAATAGTCTATTTAGGCACCCTTATTCTACCTAGCGGCCCCTAGTTTTTAGTAGTTGCTTTACTATTTTAGGCGTTTTATAGGCCTAGAAGATCTACTGTTAGCGCCCGCATTTTCATTAGAATTATAGAATACTTAACCTCTTTTTACAATTAAACGCGCATCACTATAAGAAGCGTATATATTATAGGTTTTATAAATCAAAGATTTATTAGCAAAATAATAGATTTTACCTCTCTAAGTCTTTCCCAGGGTAAGCGCTATTATAGTAATATTATACTAATTAAGTTAGTACCTATCTACTTATTAAGGTAAGGTACTTAGGTACCTAAGGTAGCTATTTATAAGGGCCCTATACCTTAGCAGTAGTACGCCTATACTACCTTTACTTAGCTTACTTAGCATCCCAAGCTAGCACTATAGGTAGGCTATAAATATAATACGCTGCGCAATATAATATAGCTACCCTTATAATCTAGCTATTAATATTATCTTATTATACCTAATAAGTATATATTTTATATTTAATATTCTAAAAGAATAAAACTCTATCTTAATAAGCTTTATAATATATATAGTAATATATAAATAGCTTTACTTAAAGTTAGAGGGAGTAAAACCTTAATAAAGAATATTAATCTATAAGAGATTATTCCTTTTATTAAGATTATATTATAAACTTTATCTTTTTATTTATTTAAAATATTATTTTATATTTCTTATTTCATATTAGCTCTTATTATTATTATTTTTAATATAATCTTAAGCTTTAACTCTTTTTAATCCCTTAATACCTTTAAGAATAATATTCCCTTTTACTTAAACTATATTAATAATATTCTTTTTATATATTATACTAATAAGAATATTATAATAAATACTATCTTTTTAAAGGAATAAATAATTTAATAATAATATATAGGTTATATAACGCTATAGTAAAATCTAAATTTATTTATAGCTTAAATAGTAATTAAAATAAAGTATAAGCTATTATTAATCCTTAGTATATTATAATATAATAAACTATATAATAATATAGAGCTTAGCCTACTTAATATTCTAATAATAATAGGATAATATATAGAGATACTAATTAGAATTTAGATATATTAGATATAAAGTTAGTAGTTTTAGATATACTAGATATAATTAGGCTTAAATTAATCCTTATTATTAAATAATAGCGCTAATATAGAAAAGGTAATATATAACTATAGGTAGGCTACTATGTGCCGTTCCTCACGTTTTCCCCTCTAATAAACAGCCTAGCGTTTATAAACCGCACACCATTCTCTTCTAGTCTCTTCCTATATTATTAACAAAGAATGCAATACCAATAAAGATCGCAAATCAGTAACAAAGACCTTAAAGATAGTAATACTAGTGAGTCCCTTCCTTAACAACCCCCTTTTGCCCTTTTACTATATAATAGCTAATGTCTTTATTTATACCTCTAGCAGCATCAATCCAAAGTTTATACGCGCCTAGAGAGCAACTATATTTATAGTGTTGAGCCTAGTTCTAACTATAAATGATCTCTCAACTTTACAATAGATCTCAACCTCACGCCCAACCTCTTACGCCATATCAAACTAGCGTTTAGCCGTGCCGCCATGTCTTCTAGCTTTAGCGACACTAACACCGACACTAACAACAATGGATCTGCATGCATCTATAGGCACGACTACCGTTCCAGCTAGAGCAGAAGTCAAACCTTTACCAATCTGTTCCAACTTTAATACACCCTTGGGCAGATCATTTAGGGTATAGCGTATATAGTTAATAACCCTTTCTGCTGGGCAAACAAATAATGCATTTTCTCCTTTCACTATCCTTAAGCCCTCAAGCTCGCTCATAATAGCCTGTTCTCCTCTAGCATTCTAGCATTGATTCCAACGCTATCTGCATCGAGTACTCTCCCAACTGCGGCTAGATGCGCCTGAAGACCTCCGAGTCCCCCACCCATTCCGATTTGAGCGTCCGTCTCAAAAGGCTGGTCAATCCACGAAGAACATGTCCACGGGCGCCTTGTTCTCGAGGTTGCTTACTCCTAACCTCAGAATGCTGTCTCCAAGAAGTACGAGGAGTATATCTATGGAAGCCATGGGCTTGTGCGTGCCGCCATTGCCATCAAGATCTTCTATCCCCGAAACACTCCCGATAAATACATAGACATCCTCAATCACCTTGACGAGTGTTAAATCGACCTCTAGGCGATGCAGAGAAACACCGTCATACAAGCGCTGGACTGGACCCCTTTGATGAAGAAGAACGGCTTCCTTACCCTATGACCCTTGGACTTTGGTTAAAGTCCACACCCCGTCTAAAGACACAGGTAAGCTGGTGCACCACTTGGCCCTATGTAGGAGATATCTAAGCAGTATTGCTTGTAGAACTGGCTCCCTAATTTGAATCGCCTTTGCTGACATCCTTATCTAGCTCCGCGCTGTAGTTGACGCCGCACATAATCCCCGTCAAATGGCTGCCAAGATCAACGCTCTGCTGCAGCTCGTGCGCGAGGACAAGCCCAAAGGACGGAAGAAGCAAGGTACTTGGAAGAGCAGGATGGAGAAATCTGTGGGCAAGAGCAGGCGAAAGACTGAGCGCGACTGCGAGGGCCAACCCGCCGACGATGTCAAGTCTCATTCTTCTTCCAAGAGCAAGCTGGACTCGAAGCGTTCGATGGATGCCAGGGTCTGATCACACCCACTTTTGCGATAACTTGATAACTGAAGAGCGTTTGCCCACGCGAAAACGTGCTCTGTTGGTCTGCGTCAGTCTTGAACGATCCTAAGATATGTTGGAAGTGGCACATGAGGTATGTGGGTTTTGATTGAGGCGATGGAACTTTTGGTGTTTGAGGCAGAGTTCTGGACAGCTGATGTCGGAGTATGGGACGGGTCTTTTAGCCCCCACCATAGGATACTATTTTGCCCCTTGATGCCCGGCGTATTTGATTGTGGTCATGGACGAGGTCGTGACTGGAGCAAATGGCTCCTCCAAGTTTGGTGCATATGGTGGTCTCTACGATGCATGAACATGGCTGGCTTTGATGATGGTCGAGACGATGCGGACAGGTTTGGCCACAGCAGAACAACGTCGTGAAGGAGGAAGCTTAACAGGCCTTCATCTGAGATGGACTTATCTCCAAGGTGCCCCAATCTGGAGTTGCCGGGGGAATCGACAGGAGACCATCATGAATTCGCGGACGTATTCGGACTGGAGGATACCGACGGCACTCTGCCACACGCAAGCCTCGCGAAGATGATATGCGGCATGAAAGTCACAGGCTCGCGATGTCATCTACGGTTCCGGTATTGATGGCTTTTTGTGCTGTTCAAGAGTCGTCGAGGCTCGTTCACAATAGCCATTAGCCCTTGGGAGAGCAATAGACACAATCAAAGATATCGTACGAATTGTCTTGCTCATCTCCTCCAGGAACTCTGTATGGGAGAAGTGAAGGTGAAAATGGCTTGTGATCGTGTACAACGCATGCAGAACGGGAGACGTCTACGAGATCACGTTCCAGTGCGCGATCAAAGTCTCAACCCCTTGAACCAAGATTTGTGCGAAATGCTGATCGCTCTGCCTCACAGTTGATCTTTGTTATACGAGGTCCTCACGCATCGACGGTCCCAATTACTCGACCAGTCTTATTCCCATATAACTCCCATAGGCACAAGAAGTTACGAGTTTCATGCAGATGTCGAAGTAGTCTGACTGTTGAGACATAGATGAACTCAAGACCTATCGGCACAAAATTGCCTGAATTCCTGTTCCACGTTGCGCACGATCACCGCTATGAGTTCTTCAAACATGACTTCAGGAGAATTCATCTTGTCAGTTTGCTTTCGAGACTTATTTAATAACCAGTTGCCACATTGGTACCAGTCTCAGCTAGACCTGGCGGTTGGCCATGAAGCTCAACCGCGTCATGATTTCTTCCAAGCATGCGGGACTCTCGGCGGTGAACTCTGGTGTAGGGAAGCCTCAAATCACCGAGAGCCAGAAAGACGCCGAGTTGTACCAGCAGACCTCGCGGTACCTAACTGGGCAGCGGCTTGGGCTGAATCAGCGTGGTGGCCTGGGTTTGGGACCCAAGAGCAGCGGCTAGGTATTTATGATTCTTTGTTGCGAACCATGTCGTTCGTAGCGTAGGGGTAAAAGTAATGCGTAACCTTAGAACGTAAAGGCCATATGTTCGATTCTACCTCTTGCCATTTGTTACCATTTTGTTTCTTGTCTTTTTGTAGCATCTACCTGCAACGGGGCACCTCTGTCGCTGTACTTATTTTTGGCACTCCATGGAATACCGCATTGCCACGATGTCTTCAACCCAGGTAGAGGGCTCAGGGTATGCACTTTTGGGCTGATTACGGGAGCGCCTGTCCCGATGACGAAGGCAGACACGGCGATTTTGCGAGCGAATATCAAGGGCGCACAACCGCTATGAGCTCAGTTGTCCTCATCTTGCTATTCATGTCAAGGACCTTGACATCGCGACATGTACCCGAACTCCTTCTTTCCCCAGACTACTCGAATGCTGCGCCCTGATGGGTCGCTGACGACGCGCAGATGGACTTGCAAACCCTATGCCTCTAGCACGAAAGCAACTGTGTTACTGATTTGAGTGCGCGAAGAAGAGCATAGAGTATTATGTCCAGCGTGCTGAGAACTCGAGGGTGTGCTCCATGTAGCGCGAGGGTCGTGGTCAGCGTCGATCTCTGGAGCCGGGAGCCGAGGTGGGTTTGGCTACGCGCGAGGAATCGTAGGCCGTATTACCGGTTTGGCGAACACTTTTGAGTCTCCGCTGAGACGGCGCGTGGATGGCTTCTCGCGAAAGGAGTTTCACCGGCCCTAAGTCCTGAGATCCCCTCGAGTGGCGGGTTACTAAGGTCTCTTTTCTGGAGAACGAGCGGAAACAACGCTTTTATTGCTTGTCGAGGTTCGTTGTTGTTCTCGTATGCGGTGCGTTGCTTTTGGGAGGTCTGGCTGTTCCACGAAATTGGGCGAAGTGGACAAGCGGGTTGAAGCACTAAAAACTGAGGTGTGTCACGCGGTGACATCACTTCAGTGCCCCTCACCGATTAGGTAAGGTAAGTCGGGCTGCATCCAGGGCAATCTTTTCCCAGTCCCCTCTTAGGTACCTTAACTTAGGGGCTGCTGCTTCTATCTCAGCGGTCTTGTTGGTCCAAGCTCCAGGCCCTTTCAGAAGGTAAAAATGTCAGCTGGAACAATGGAAACCTCGTGTTTTTGGCGGAATGTAAGCATCGTCCACACTTACAAGCCTGAATGGTGCAGGTCGCCATAAGTGTGCATCACCTCCACTGCCATGGAAAGCAATGTCACTAAGGTACTGATTCCCAATTGGCAAGAGGTGCCGGGCCACCACCGCTCAAACCAACAAACCGGGCTAGATATTCAGTCCGCAAACGGGTTCAGTGCAGCCACAATGCTCATTCCTCCCACGTGCTCGAGCATCGCCTCGTCGGAGACGTTGGTTGGCTTCTTTGCTGGATGGGATCTGAGCTTTCTGTACCTCCAGATAAATGTACCTTAAAGTACCTACATCGTGTACTTGCCGCCAACGAGCCATCCTCCGATGTCAACTTCCATTTCTTCGCAAGGCAACGCACCCATCTCCTCCACGCACTTGCCGCCCCTTCATCCGTACCCGAGGCAGTTCCAAACCGTCCAATATTTGCACCTTCTTTCATAGGTAGGCAATGTACTGCGGGCTCCCATTTCTTCTCTTCTTTTGACTTCACCCAAACGCATTCACAATTCTCCAACCTGTCTCACAAACCAATCAACATATTCTCACGGCAGGATTATTTTTTCCATAGAGCTTGGGCTCATATCCATTTATCTTCAAACGCAATCGGATCGCCGTCCCGAAAGTCCTGACCACAAAACCGCCACGACTCCTGGGCTCGAGGCCGCGATCTCCTCCATAATTGGTGCCGTTGACGCCACAGAGGAAGCCCTGAATGTTCTCTGGCAGGACCTCCAGCAGCAATACATTTGTGCCAGCATCGAAGAGCCATTCACCGATTTCATTCAGCGGCGCATCTCCAAACTTGATCTAACCACCATCCTCCACGCCGTTTTCTCAGGGGCTTGGAGAAGAATACAGAGCCAGGGCAGCGCTGAGATCTCTCGCCGTCGGGCTGCCGCCTCCCGATTTGATCTCCAAGACCACTACGAGCTCTTTCTCTAGTTCGGCTCCTCTCTCGCGTCCCAGCGGACCTAGAAGATCATCTCTGCACACAGGGAGCTACCACCCGCAAGGGAGCTGTATCTCAAGCTGCAGGCATCTTGTGGCCAGCGCCTGCCGGACCTTGATTCGTTGCAACTCAATTTCAGGCCGCAAGACTTTACACAAGCCCTGCGCCAGCACCAAGGTACGTTCTCCATCAACCGAGAATGGTTTGCCACAGCTAATGATCTCGCCTCAGTTGAACGGTCTGAAGCCCTACGTCGTGCAATCGAAGGTTCGCCACCGCCAGACACACCAACAGACATCAACAACGCGCCCGAGCCCCCACGCACGAAAGAGCCTCTCGCTTTGGAAGCAGCCGATCGGTCTACCGTTGTAGTTGAAACCTGAGAAGGCACCAGCAACACCCTAACCGACGGCCTTGAGAGAAACAGACACGCTAGTCATCCGTCCCCGAACCAGGTGGTTCTTGAAGGTTCTGCACTCCTTCCGGAGCATTCAACACGCAGCATGACTGCCTTCGTTAGTGAAGACTCGGCGATTGATACCAATGGCACAAGGAGGGAGAACCCCGGCGCTCAGGAAAACTCGGACACAGACGGCTTGGGCAAAGGGGGTTCCACCATCGGGGACCTAGCGAACTCCAGCTCGAACAGCCGGTATCAGACGAACGTCTCCCCACGCCCCAGAAACAGTACGTTGCCCCTTTTGGCGAAGGAGTCTGCGCTGATCGACAGCCTTCGCGACGTACGCGTCGGATTCGAGAGCACTCAGAAAAGATTCAACACAATCGAGGGCCAGCGCCATGGGGAAGCTGAAGCTTAGGAAGCCACCATGAAACAGCACAAAGAGGCGATCGCTGCGGACCTGAAAGCCATTGAGATAGCCCCTCGCATGGTGTCGCCGACCTCTGTCGATAATCACCAAAAGAAGTTCAGGTATGCTGCCGGTCAGAAACGTAAAGTACTCGACGACGTTGAGGATCTGATGGCGAAGAAGGCGCGTATGGACTCCTACCTCACCATAATGTACGCCCAAATTAACGAAGCTGTGGCATTGTATGATCAACGGGTCAAGGAGGAGATGCTTGATGCTGTTGGTGGCGAGGAGGAGGAGGAGGTGTACGCAGCAGTTGGCGGAAAGGAGGTGATGCGTGCCGCTGTTGAAGAGGAGAATGAGATTGATAACGCTGAAAGCGAGGAAGAGTAGATGCATGACGCTGTTGGTGAGGAGGACTTTTGACGGGGCTGGGCTCTGTTGGAAGCTTTCCCCAGAGTGCTGCCTCGTCTGAAGGTTCTGATTGATGTATCACGCAGCTCGGAGGCTTCTTGTCTCTACCCGGTAAATAGAAATCAGTATAGATAGGGAATGGGACTACCTCTATCCCGCGGAACGTGCTGCCTCCTTTGATCCTTCATCGCCACTTCCTGGCCATATCTACGGCCTCCATTATGTGTCACATCCTTCGTTCGACGGGTTTCTTGCTCTACAATCCCATCATCCCACACCAGCCATCAATGTTTATACGGCTGCTGCCTTGTTCCTCCCAGATCTTTATACAACCTCTTCGCCACTTAAGAAGTATGCCCACGCCTCGATATCCAGAATTAGGTTCTCTACGCACGCCTGGAGTCGGTTATGAAGGATCTCGCACCTTCTTGATTTGGCAAATCTCGAGAACGTAACTCGTGTGGAGAGTTGCGGCCGGTCAACCAAGTGTCATGCCACGTCCGGTTGAGGGTTCTTCAGATCGGACATTATATATCTACTATGATTCAGCGAACAGTGAACAGGGGGCTTTGAGGAGGTCTGATTGCCCGAGAAGAACTGGAATATAGACAACGCCGAACTTTCGCTGCGATTGTGGCTCTGCTAGACCGAGGCGGAGGAAAACGACGATCGGCAAAGCTCGTATCAGCGAGCGATGGGACCAGGCTTCGCCAAGGATGGAGACACGAATTGCAAGGGACATATGTGGGAAGGAAAGGAAGACATCGGAAATCGAAACGTAACGGGCTGTTTTCTTGCATGTTGTTCTTGGTCTTGTGGGTTTCTGAATGCTTCGCGTTTGACTGAAAGTCATGGACACCGCTTTGTATCTCGAGCGATTTTGATCCCAGTGGCTGATGTCCTCAGCAAGGAGGGCAGGCGAAAGAGCAGTCAGGCGCATTGATGGTGTCATGGCCTTCACCATGCTAGGTAGACGCTCTGCGCAAATTATGAGATTGAGTATTTGAACAGCAACGATGTTAGAGCGGACAACCGTTCTTATGCATAAGCGGGAAATCGGGCTGAGAAAGGTTCATCTGATATTTACGCAAGCCTCAACTGGTGCTTCTAAGTCCCACCTTTGTAATTAACGCTACTGCCAGCACCTTGCAGACAGGAAGTTCCGCCACATTCCTGTTTCTCATCTTGAAAGACGATGGGATCACGGGTGCAACGCAGCCGCGGACATTCCCAGTTGAATTGTTCCTTCCACACCCCGCTCATATTTTCTGCTTTTTCCGCCTGAATAGACTTTTCAAGTCTTTGAAAGATCTCCATGAACTTGTCGCTTGCTTACAGCTGCCATCGCGGCGCTCGCCTTTGGCGTAGCGCCGGGGTTCTCTAGGTTGCGGGGGTCCGGATCGTGGGCTCCACCTCGCGGCCCGGGCCGTACGTAGTGTGGGTCCACATGCCCCGGAACACTGTGAAGCTGGTCATTCGAGCCGATGCTTGCTTGCGCTTTCCTAGCGACTGCCATCTGCTTGTCATGTGGCCGTTTCATCGTATTTTTGATCCAACTCGGGACAATGCTTCCAAAGAAGCTGTCAATTAAGTTCTTTGCCGCACTTTCCCAACCGCAGCGTAAGCTGGCTGCTGATTGTCAATAAACCGAGAATAAGGAGGTGATGGTTCACCGGAGAGAAATAGAATATGGTTTCTAATGCTATTTCCAGCCGCGGCTGCTGTTTCTCCCCCGAAACAAAGTTAGTGCAAAAGCCGCCGTCTCTAGGTATATCCTTTTGACCCTTTTGATCCTCAAAGTCCAAGCCGTCGCGTGCAACTCGGTCGCGACTCGCAAGCCATGTGGCGCCGGGGCCATAGGGGTTGTGGCAACCGGGATACAATTTCAGCTTCAACGGTGATGCAGGCAGGATTTTGATGAGCGTCCAGGCAACCCTGTAAAACTTGACCCGATCGCCTCATCTCTTGATAATCATAGATGGCGCGATTATTGGTGGCGTAGCCGTCCGCCGTATGAGTCCAGAGCCGTGAAAACTCAAATGAGGCAGTGTAACCTTTTATAGGGGAGGTATGGTCATACTTTACTGCTCAAGACAATGCAGTAGTCATGATTAGTGATTTATGCAAATTACCGTTTCCGCCAGGTTTTGAGATGATGTTCTTCAAAGGCGAAAGAATCCCTCGCTGGAGGGAAGGCTTCAACTGGGTAACTGGGCAACTAGGGCCCCTTCAAAAGTTCTTATTACATTCCGGCGTGAGACTTGAACCAGATGAAGATTGGTGCCCGAGTATCCAACCGGGACTCCAAAGGTGTGCGGGGCCTGATGGGTGAAGGTTTCAACATAAGGCTCATCAAGATCCAATAGATCGACGACATATGACGACCCATGCAACCCGCCGGACTACGGTTCATCGTAAGTCATAAATATGAGTACAAGGGACCAACAAGGTTCTCATGTGACTCAAAATGACATTCTTCACGTATGCCGGGTATCCCTTCTGTTTCATAGTGAGTTGGTTCGAGCTTCGCATTGAAAAGATTGTGATTTCGATTCTCGCCTAGGGCACTGTCTACACGAGTGCGTATTTGCTGAGTATGGCGAGATACCAGATAGGCACAAGCAAGACGAGTTGCTGGGTTGTATCAAGAGTATCCTTAGATTGTGGCTCATTTGTGGTTACCTTCCGCCGTATGAGTCTACGGCGAACGTTCTAAGGGGGCAGTATTATGCGGTGTGTTATTCTTCATTCTTCATGTTGAGGGTCGGAATCAAGATGATGAGTACAAGGTGGCTTCAAGGTAAACGACACCAGTGTCGGCCGAGACGCAGGGCGGACGAAATTTTCATCTGCGCCTTGAAACTTTCACGTGAGGCCTGCTTCAGGTCATCAGGGTATGTCCAAAAGGGTGATCTCTCTAAGCTATTTTAAGATCATTCTATTCCCATCGTCAGACAAGATATAGAGCAACTCACAACGACACTTCAATCCTCTCCTCCAGCGAATCTCCACTGCGATCCGAGCACCATCACCCAGCCGTGCTTCGCCTCCAATATGAGTGAATCGGAGACTGAAAGCCGACCGGATCTCACGGCAACAAAAGGTCAGTAGTTCAAGCACATATCGATATTTCCTCCCCAAACCTTTCCGTCTATTCGTCCCATAGCTCATGCCGTCATAGATCGTTCCAGCTAACCTGACGTCTGCTATAGAACACGGCGCAGCACCAGGACCCTCCAACCAAAGCCATATCGATGTGGACGACGAGTCAGTCTCTGGGCTCAACCACCCACCAGCCAAACGACCCAAGAGAGTCTCTGCGGATGACGAGGCAGTTGCCGGGCTGGAAGTCCCAGCAGCCAAACGACCGAGGAGACCCTGTACCGCGGACGAAATGATGGACCCCTCGGTGCGTCGTCTTCCACCACCCCGCCCTTCCATCCTCCCGGGCCGTCCGCGATTCACCCCCGAGCAGATGATGGATCAGCGCGAACGGTGCCACCGGGTACTTAATAGCGTTCCCCAAGGTCCGCGGCAAGAAATCATGTCCGCTGCCATGTTCAACGCAATTCAAGTGATGGGTGTGGATCTGATGCCCTACATCGAATCGGAGGTGCACATGTATTCGACATACTTCCAACAACGATACACAAGTTATCAACACCTCTTGGGGATCAGTTCAGCACCGCAGTCGAACTGGGACCTCGGACCCGGAATGCGCCAGGCAGCGGCAGTTCGAGGCACGAGGAGCCATTCTGGACGGGCCATGGGACCATCGCAGTCCACCGCGCATCACGATGCGAGGTCTGCTTCGGAGTAAGTTGAGTCGTATCCATAGAGCGTATGTGACGAGGTCTCGCACATAGAAAGACTAAAAAAAAAAAAAAAATTCATTAAAAGATATGAGAACGAACAGAAAAACTCACAATTAGACAAATCTGTCCAAGTTATAAGCGCCCCTGTGATTTCGTGACATGCGATCCTGACATCTTTCCCACTCAGTTTTCGTTCTCATGTGATTAGATAAGTACTTCCTCCAGGGGGCCATGCATACCAATACATACTTTCTCACATGAGAAGTCAGTTTTCGTTGCATTTTTAGTGGTGAGAATGGCGTAAGCTCAGGTCCCGTCACGTCAAGAGGGCGGCACAGCCACTAAGCGCAAGGGCCTCCTGAGGCTTAGGCCCCTGGACTGCCAGGCTGGGCGGCACGGACCAGCTCTAAAAGAGAGCAAGGACGCGCTTCCAGGTTTGCTTGCCCACCTAGCACGCGTCAAGGTTGTCTCGCACTCATTGTCCACCTCCTCTTTTTTGAAACAATCTCCCTTCAATCACCATCACCGTCACACTCACAAGCAAACTTTGCCAAACAACCACCCGCACGCTGAGAGCCACCATGGCATCGTCCGCGCTGAAACAAGAAGTAGAGCGGTATTGCTTTACGTTCGGCTTGATGCATTCGCGGAAAGAGGACATTATGGGGAGGCTCGGCGATTTCGAACGGGCCATGGCGCGACCACCCTACAACGCCGACCCGGCCGATGTACGTCGGTTTCTCACCCTTCAGATGAAGGCCCTGATTGATCACGCCTTGGCTCAGCCGCAGCACCGAGACCACTTCTTCATCAGTGAGAGAAACTCGGCAACAGCGCGCTCAGCCGCAAGGAAATGGGATATTCCCCTGAAGCAGGTACTCTTTGGCATTGCGCACGACCGCGGTAAACAAGGACAGCCCTTCTTTCGTGCGCTCAAGAAACTCGCCAAAATTAGCCCGGTCTGGAACGATTCTATCTCTCTTGTCTGCCAAATTGCGTCCGCTCGCCGGGCGAAAGAGGATTTCGACAAGCGACCTGGGATTCGCCGCTCTGCCGTGGGCCCAATTCTCTCCGACATCAACTTGGCTATCGAGTCGCTTAAACCTACCCCAAAGGATTCTGTCACTGCCACAGCGTCGCCCATGTCATCCAACCAGGCGGAAAATACGGAGAATGACGACATGCCCGTCACCAGTGTCGAGGATCATGATATGGACGGGGATGATTTCATCGTCACCGGCATAGATGAAGGTTTGCTGGCTGCTATTGCACAACGGATTGCCACTATTATCATGAATTGCATGGACGATGATGCCATGCATGAGGAGAGCGTAGATGAGGACGGCATGGACGAGGATGACATAAATGAGGAGTACACGGACGAAGAGGACATGAACGAGGAGAAACCGAATGAGGACGGCACGAGCGACAATGGCGCCATCGTGGTTGAAAACAATTTCACCGGCAGCGATGGCGACGTCGTGAGCAGTGGCGGCGAGAAAGGCGTGGCTAGCGAGCAAGCAATGAGTATGATTCAGCCGAATGAGAACTTATCCGTTCAAGAGGTTACCGACGCGAACGAGAACGGCGTCTCAGCGGTCAGAGACAAGCCTTGAAGATGAAGTGGACGCCGAGGACGGCGAAAATGAAAACAAACACGATGACGACGAAATCAACGAAAACGATCACATGATCACGATGATCACGACGATGACGATGACGATAACAATGAGGAAAAGGAGGGCGACGAAGATCATGAAGATGCTCAGGGTTCCACGATGAACCTGATGAAGAGAAAGTTGGACCTCTCTTGTTCTTGCGAACCAGCTTGAGAGGTTTCGATGCTGAAAGATACGCCCAGTTAGCTACGCCACATGAGCCATCATCGCCTACAAGTCACAATCACAACCATTTACGAGATGAGCCGAATCACAGCCGAAAGTGTTCAGCTTCGAACTCCGAGTCCCAAGGGATTCGCAGGGTCGAAATACGTCGAGACAGAGTGTTAGGGCGAGAAGACCAACATTCAAGAGATACCAGTCACTTCTTTTGAGTTTCGACCACCATATGGACAGTTACCAGCCATGCTCAGTGTCTATGGCAAACCCGCTGTCTATCTCGACGCAGACATCAAAATCCGTCACCCCCTACAACGCTTGTCTTTCCTGTGGGATCGCGAGATGGTGGAATCAAGGACTGTCTACTTGTCTGGGCCGAAGAGAAGCGAAAGCATATGGCCTTGGTTCGGTGGAAGTGTCGTCACGAAGAGATTGCCTGTGTGCAGGACCTCTCTTGCGCAGTTCAAACGTTCTCCAACTGGTACGTGTCATTGCCCTGTTTCTCTTGTTTGGCGTTGTCTGTAGGCGAGGTTGACTGACGTCTTCGCAGATTCTTATTTACTACGGGGCGGTTTACGAGGGAGCTCTCGTCCGTCAGTGAAAAAGCCTTCCTGCCTTGTATAGAATCGGGGCTCTGCAAGCTTGAAGTTGAGACATGACTGGCATTTTCGTCATGGAGCGGGTGTTTGATGACGAGTCTGGCATAGTTTCAATAGGCGTAGCTCCCGGGCGCATCTCTGAAGCTAATCCACCATGAATTCAACTGAGCAATCATTCTTGCTCGAATTATTCGTTGCCTTGTAATGGGTCATAAATGTCTGAACTCTTGCCGTTCTTAGTCTGCCAAAAAGGTGTCGCTGACATGACGCCAATTCCCAAGAAGCCATGCACGTCTCCATCGTCAGCAAACCAAGGCCATCTGTCAATTTACAACATCACATACCAATTTCTCCGCATTAATCATAAAATTAGCTACAACCCGTTTGGTTTATTGCGTGGCTTACGCTTCGCGCAGCTCTTGCATCTACCCAGTATAAAAAGCAGTAAAATATGCTGACAGGCTATGAGAGCTGACGCTAACCTGCTGGAGGATTGGAAGAAGCAGAGGTACCTTAACTGTAGCGGATTATAAGAGAGCTAATAGTAACCCCAACTAAAATTAATACCTCCCCTCTAAACTATAGTGCGCTCTACTAATTATATATTACCTTTTCTATATTAGTGCTATTATTTAATAATAAGGATTAATTTAAGCTTAATTATATCTAATATATCTATAGAAACTACTAACTTTATATCTAATATATCTAAATCCTAACTAATACCTCTATATATTATTCTATTATTACTAAAGTATTAAATAGATTAAGCTTAAAGTTATTATATAGCTTATTATATTATAATATATAAAGTATTATTAATAGCTTATTTTCTATTTTAAATACTATTTAAGCTATAAGCTAATTTAAATATTTTTATAGTATTATATAAGTAATATAATATTTTTAAATTATTTATTTATTAAATAAGATAATATCTATTATAATATTTTTAATATAATATTTTTTAAAAGTCTTTTTAATATACTTTAAGTAAAAAGAATAATTATTCTTAATATTATTAAAAAGTTAAAAATAATAATTAAGGTTTATAATTATATTAATAAAGATACTAATATTAATTAATATAAAGCTAAAGATATAAAAAGAAGATATTTTAAATAGATAAAAGAGAAAATAAAAAAATAAAAGTTATAATATAATTTTAATAAAAGAGATAATCTCTTATAGATTAATATCTCTTATTAAGGTTTTATCTCCTCTAACCTTAAGAGTAAAGCTATTTATATACTATTATATATATTATAAAGCTTATTAAGATAGAGTTTTATTCTTTTAGAATATTAAATATTAAATATATACTTATTAGGTATAATAAGATATCTATAACTAGATTATAAGGGTAGCTATATTATATTATATAGCGTATTGCATTTATGCGCTCTGCTAATTAAGGGGACCTTCCCGCTCTGCGCTAACCTCTAACTCCAACCACTGAGCCTGCTACCGTTGTGGTTTTGTTTGCGTCGCGGGAATTATCGCAATAAAACGTGAATATCGGCCATGGCATCTGCATTTCAAGCCCCAGACCTAGCCAGTGTGCTCGATTCCAGGGCGAAGAGCTTGCAAAGCGCAGCCAGGGCATATTCGCAGGCACGCACTGCACCGGATGAAAAAGCGATCAGCCTCTCCATTTTATCCGTGAGCTTCTCCATTGACACAGCACAGATGTTGAAGCCATTGTGACGCTTTCCGATGGCAAAAACCCCCTAGGAATGATCAAAAAAAAACATACAACACCGGGCATTCGCCGGTCGTCACCGACCCGACTACTACTCCAGCCCTCATTGGCTTATCTATGGGAGAGCGGACGGGATCCCGAGTTTTCCAATGGGTATGGTCGTATGTGGCATGTTGACGCGTTCAGGTTGATTGTATCGCGAGGCGCAAGGACGCGAGGCATTCCTGCAGTTGTGTGGAATGGGATGAGTCGCTCTGTCGGCAAGGTGATGGGGTTCGACAAAGGTGCTGTCAGAAGGTGGACACCGCCTCCGAGGTATTAGTGATGCCCCTTTGATCCCAGAGTGGCCGCGAAAGCTAAACAATCGGCTCGCCTCGGCATGCCCCAGACGAAAGTACCCTCGCTGGGTCGGGTACGGCGAGATATCGAAGAATGTTAGAAAAATAAGGACTGCTGCCATTGGATTGCAATTGTGTTGCGCGAATTGCAATTGCAGTGTCGGAGTTGGCGCGGATGAGATAGCGCCGGCGATCAGTGCCTCAAGCTGCCCCCGCAACTCACCTCAGGCTTGGGTGCACCTCAGTGAGTGCCCGCGTGGGGGACTCCGCCCCGTGCTTTTGGCTGCTGGGGCGCAGCGCGTTCAGAAGTACCGCCCCTAAAAGGTAGCCCCAGGTGTCCTTGGATCGCCCCTGTCGGGGGGCGATACGTGCCCAAGGTCGCCCCCGGGCTGTCCCGTCGGATACGTACCCTGTCACTGTCAACGCCCGCACTGGCCACTGCACTTTCACCGCACGAGCCCAGCTGCCTTTTTTTTCCTTCCCCCCCTCAGCCGACGTCTGTTTATCGAGGAGCAACTGCCCAAAATCTTCCATCGATACCCATCACGACATACCGTCACTTCGCCCGGAGATTCAGCCGTCGCAATGGACAATATTCCCGACAAGGACTTTCTGGAATGGCTCGAAGATGAACAGGACTACGAGCTCGACGCAGGCTGGGTGATGGTGGCGAAAGGCTAGGAGTCTAGACGTCACCTTTCAGACCCCGAGCCAGACTCGGTCGCGTCCTTTCCCGACCGCGCAAGTCGCCAGCGAGCCGACGCAGCGTCCCACGAAGCCAAACGCGGACAGTAGGTCGTCGTTCAGTCAGAATCTCAGCCCAGAATGTCGACTTGCAGTCAATCTGATCTTTCATCTTCACCAGAGCTCCCCTCCGAGACGAACCCGCCACGACAAGCCCCGAGAAGCGCGACGCCGCCGCCACGCGCATCTGGACGGACGAGGAGATCGCGAAACTCCATGCAGATACTATTGATAATCTGCGCGCCCTCCGCATCGACATGAAGGAGCAACAGCGAGAGAACGATAAGCAGGTATGGGCTGTCCTTCCCCCTCCACAATGACCCTGGAAGCTTTACTGACGCCTTCAACAGCGGAGGAAGTTGGTCAAAGTTCTCTCCCATCGTGGCAGTCACAAGCCCAGGTCCAGACAAGCCCTCCCGCCGACCGCGCCCCAATCCGATCCCGATCGTCTGTCGACCCCTTGCGGCTTTCCGGAGCACACGACACAAACCTCCCGAGACGAGCAGAACACGAGGACCGACAGGCAACCGGCCGCCCGCGACGATCAGCCAGGAGATGTTTGACGAGGTTCTTCCGAGGACGTGCCAGGCGCGTCGCGGGGCGTTGGTGCATGATTGTTTGGTATGGTCGTGGTGGAAACAAACGTGCTGAGGTCATGGTTGGCTGTCGTCGGGTGTGGTTCTCGCAGCCACGATGACCGACGGTGTGAAGACAAGCCCAGCGCGATACCGTGGGACCAAGCCCTTGCATGTCTGTCTCGTTTAGCGTCATCTTGCACAGCAATAAACATTCTTCTCTACCATCATACGGGGAGGTCTCTAGTCGCCGTCCAGCATGGGACTGCAGCGCTGCGTCGTCAGTGGAACTGGTGCTTGCGGGAATCTGATCTCGCTCCACGGGCAGACGGGAGCAGCGAAAGAGGACCTAAGGTGCTTCCCTTCTCAGGAGTTGCGGTACCGTGCACCGTATCGGGGTGGTCTCTCCCTCCGTGGTCAACTACATGGTCAATCAAATCGTTCATGCTCGTCAGATGCTTTTTGGCCTACGAGAAGAGGTCTTGTGGAGTCCGTCCCCATGCCTGATTCGAGAAGCCTACCTGCCATCCATGAAGGAGATCACATCTATTTCACGACCAACACAGATGATGCTTCTCTATTCTCTGTAATGAGACCCATCAATTCCTGAACGCATCTTTACCCTGATCATGCGGCAGAAACTCGATGCGCAATTCCAGCCTCCTAGGTACACTGATCCAACCCTGGTGGCGACCACAACGTCCACCGCGCCTCCAGCACCGCTCCCCTCACCTTCGTCGATGCAGCTCCAAAACATGAAAGTCGTCCGAAACTTCAGCGTGAAGGCATACTTGCCACGCGGCAATTCGGCCTCTTTGCCGTGCTCCTCAAGGTTTTCGGCGCTGTTCTACCCCGTGAGTCAATGTCTGACTCTGAACTCGTCGAGGAAAGGGGTAGTTTTGACCACTGCGAGAAGGGTCTTTGTCGACAAGGTTGCAGTGTTCCTCCAGGAGGGCAGCGTGGACGAGCGGCGAGACAACTCATCTTTTGAGGACGCAGCTCATTACAGGAGGCATCTTGAGAGTTTCGTGTTGAAAAGGGGCCGTTCTTAACTGTGGCCTCGAGGTAAAGGAGTATGCATTTCTGCCTCTTCAACAAGGCGAGTCGTCCTTCACTGGCTTCTCGACACGATGGCGCAGAGATGGAGGGCCGATGATCGGGACCGAAATTGTCACGCAATGTCCGGAACAATCCGGCTCCCCTGTGGTCATTCCGAGTAGGCAATCAATTCAGACGCAGATATTGACGGTTCTGGAAGGGAGGTTCGCCAGGAGATCGAATGTTCCGACATGTGGCCGGGACGGAGCGTTTTCGTGGCCACCTGCAACCTGACGATCGGGCGCCAGACCTGATGTCAGAGGAGATGGCGAGAAAGGGTTGAAGTATCAAGATTGTTCGTACAGTAGGTCGTTGCAATTGAAGCAGCAGCGGCAGGATATCGATCGTGTCTCGGTGTCGACCGGCCTCCTAGAAATCTTTCGCCCATGGAACCCGCTCCCTGGTCGGAGGGGGGCAGAGGATCCTTTGTGGCCGTCGGGGAGAATAATCCGAGTTTACTGGACGAACCATGAGGCTCTTGCTGAAGATGCGAACGGACGGCGACGTAGAAGAGCACGCCATCATTTTTCGGGGGAGCGACGACGGCGACGACGTAGGGCCTTCTGATTGATCATGGCAGTGATCTCTGGTCATGTGTCTCCGAGAGAGTGGGATGAGCTTTTCGTCCAACATTCCGTCATTGCTCGAATGCGCCAGGCGATGGAAAGCCAGAATAGCATTGTGATCGATGGAGTACGAATCATTCACGGTGGTATCTCGGTTTCAAGACAAGGAAACCTCGATAGCCTCCTTCTCATTCTGTCCACTGTTCTCGAGGGATCAAGACGAATGCCCACTCGTTGAGAGTGCCTTGGGCATGCTCGAAAGCAGACCAAGTTCCATGACTTCAAAGGTATGGTTGTATGTGTGATGGAATAGAACTCGGGTCATCCATCGGTCTGCCATACTCTTTCCGGTGTTGCGCAGCTGTTTCATGTCTTCCAGTAGGCCGAAGTTTCCTATCCTCGCCCAGAACCGGTTGCGCCCTTGTCGTCCCCAACATGCAGCCCAACCATTACTTCGAACTTGTGATCTTGTCCGTGCCAGTTGGGGTCAGAGGGACTCCTTGGGATGCACGTGTCGTCGGTGTGTTGAGCTGGAAAGCACCGGCGCCAGAGGCAGGTCGATTCGTTTCGAGCGGAGAGTTGTGATTTATCACAGAGGAGAGACATGGCAAGAGTCCTGGATGACAGTGGGGTTAGCGGCGATGTCCATGATTAAGATGACAGGAGAACATGTGGAGGAGGGGCTTGCGCTTTCGTTGGCGTTCTCCCTCTTGTTGGCGTGAGCTCTGGCTGGAAATTGGATGCGAGCCTCACCTTCGATCATGCCCGCGACGACCAACTGCGCCCTTGGTTTATTCTCCCATTACTCTCGACACTCGGTGATATCGCATTCAGAAGAACCTGGGAATGCCCAGCTGCCTACCGCTGCGTGCAGGAAGAACAAGTCGCTCGGGTAGGATAACGGTGACATGAGCGGCGTTCATTGATAGGCATGGCGCAAAAATATGATGCGCTCGACGGCGGGAGAGAAATTAATCGAAGGAGTTTGATGACAGTAACTTGGCAGTGTATGGTTTCTCTCGCAAGGTCGGTCGAACGGCTTCAGTCAAGGCCGCCGTCAAGCTGGTTTGCGCTTTTCGTTGAAGTTGGCAGAGTCGGCTGCATACCGGCTTGGAATATTGTTGCAACTGTTGCAACTGTTGGCTGGGGATTACAAGCTCAGTTTGTTGTTCTTGCGACGGGAGGAAGAGAAGGTGTCAGAGTCCCAGCCTCTGTCGGGAACCTGCCCTGACGTCAAAGGCGCGGGGTCGACTTCTTGGCGAATCCAGCAGGAAGGAGCCTCTCGACCAACCACCTCAAACGACGGATTAACACATCTCAATCATCCGCCAAACCCAGTCGCGTCTCATCCAGATCTTTTCAAGCACTGCCAAGTATCAGTTCGCGTTTCTTCGCTTGAATTGCTTCAGTTTCGGCCCCGTCGCTGGTCCACCTGAATCGTGGCCAACATGTCAGCCCGACGTGCCATCCCATTCCTCCTCAAGCCCAATCTCAGTTTGCGCTCAAGCCACCCCGTTCCATACAAATCTTCGCTAACTTCTGACGCTGCACTCGTGACAGGTGAACGAAATACCCGGTTCCGCCCTGCGCTGCACCATTGACAACCGACGACAATACTGGCGGTCAACTCTCCGATGTCGATGACATGGCGCAACGCGACGTGGTCCGGAAACCTGCCCCGAGCCGCAGAGTTACGATCGACAACGAAGCTACCTACGAGTCGCTGCGTGGTGGACACCCCATTACTGACGAGAGCCTCGGCGACAGCCACCCAGATTGGCCTGCTATCGCGTACGACAAGCTTTCATTCCGACCGAACCGAACCCGATCCGTTCTCCAAGCTGAAGGCTGAGAACGCCGTTTAGTCCGCATCGTCGAAGGATTTCTGGCAGCATGCCTTGGCGGCCAATGTTTTGCAGAATTACCAACCGATTCCTCTCAGGAACCCGGCTTGTTCGATCGTCTCTCTTGACGGGCAGCAGCTGTCAACTGAAGATGCAATTAGCAGAGCTATGCATGGAGTGGCGAGCGACGCCTGTCTCGTCCTCGAAGCTGTGTGGTCTGACACCTGGCTCTTCATGCCGGTCATGGCTGAAGACGAACACTAGGAGCTTCCCCGTTGGGGTCGTAGGTTCCCCGCCTTGAAGTATTCTGGCTCATACGGGCATCCTCCCCATTCAAAGACTGGGCGCTCGAAATGGTCAAGTACCTTTTCAATTTCAAGGGGCTGCATGGATTCTACGTTGGTGAGGTCAGTCATCCGTTTCATCTATACCAGAAGTTACTTCTGACCCTGGCCGCAGACTCCTGTCCACATCAACCGGTTCGACAAGGGGACCTTTCGCCGTTAGTACGGCGTTCAACAACATGAAATACTCCCGGATCTTCACTGCGCCATGTTCTTTCTCACCAAGATCGCAAATCAATACATACGGTTTCCATTGGCCTCGTCGCTCGCCGGCTGCCCTCCGAATTTCTCCACTACCATGGCGAAGATAACACGCCCCACTTCTCCCGAGAGATGTTCTACGCCGTGAAGCGTTTTAGAACCGGGTCGTATCTGCGAGATGTTACCCGACAGCGTGATACATACGAACCCAATCGGCATCGGCGCACATGGAAGCTGTCGGAGCACCGCGAGATTTACATCTTCATGGCACAATTTCGGACTCGGTGGAGGTGCGGACAAGAACACGTCTGGCCCTTGATGTCTGGCATGTGGCTGAAAAGAGCGGCCCTTTCCCTAGGATGGGGCAAGGCGGCCGCTCACCACGGGCGTCCTCATGCCGCACCGTTTGGCACAGACGTACTTCTATGCTGAAAATACTCTGGATGGTACAGAGACAGGCCTGAAGATCTTTGATAGGCGAGGTATGAGGTTTAGTTCATGTCTTTCCTCGCATGTTCCATGCAGATCGATCATCATCTAGCTGAGATCTTGTCTGGTTATCATGAGCAGGGCGGGTTCTTGGCTTTGAACTTCCATCAGAGAGATTGAGCAGGGCAAGTTGTCGAAAGATACGACCTATCGAATTGTGTGTTTGCGTCTCAGATGTGTAGCTGGAGGAAGACTTTGAACCGGCCTGCTGGTGGATGTAGAGCAGCAGAGAAAAGGGATGCGTCTCGGAATCGGCTACTCGAACTGCGATCTGAGTTCTTCGTGCCGAGAGCCGGTGTTCAAGTATGTCAATCCATCAAGCGTGCTTACAACCCAAACACATCAGTGTCAAGTCATGGGAAGTGCCTCCGTTGAGTCCGTATAGGCTGCGATGGGGGCTGTTGGAGATATCGCGGGGGTTGAGATGGAATGTAATGCCACTGAGGTCAGGGACGAATGGGTCGGCGTGATAATCTCTCCTGGCGGCGGTAGTACTCGAGGACTGCAGAGTCAAGTCACAAGATTCGAGCTTTTGAGGCCGTACCGATTACTCTTGGGCGGTGTAGGTGTATGAACAGAGCTGACCGCATGTTAGCAGGAGACAGCGAACGAGACAAGGGCGGTTGCAATCGAAAATCTTATTTGTGACTGCGAATTGGGTGAAGACGACTTCGTCTCCGAGTGGAACTGAATAATGGATATCGACGAACGGATTTCGCAGGAGTGAAGGTACGTTACACGAATATAAGGGCCCGAGAATCAAAGTCGAGGTTCGGACGGACGGTCAAAGTAGCGAAACCGGGCGGCAGTTTATGTGCCGGAACTTTGAGGCAGCAAACCTAATACACAAATTCCAATGGAGGTACCAGGACATCATCTCGAACAGTGAAGCTGTGGATCACTGTCGCTGAGGTGCAAAAGCAGCGTTGTTGTTGGAAACGCTCGATGACGTCGGCGGAACGACTTGGGTCACTGCAGGTGACATCGCGGCATCGAGACAACGCCCCGCGCGGCTCCACGAGGCCCTCGGGACGGGCCGAACCGATGGGTCTCTTTAGTTAGCGAGATGCAGGATCTGCTCTCATCTGACAGATCTATAACCTAGCGGATCAGCGGTGGTGGGTACGCAACGGTAAGCGAGAGAAAGATGACGAGAACCCCCACGGAATCCATCACCTCCCGACATCTGATCACTGTGACGACTCAACCTTCTGCCTTTACCATCATGTTCTTGTCAAAACGTTTGATTCTGCATCAATCCGCCCTCCCGGGCCTCCAACATTATCGACTACCGCCGTCGCCATCCTCACCATCAGCCAGACCCGCATCAACCGCATCACCCGAACTCAAGGGCATCAACGAAGGCCACCTGAATTCACCGCCAGTGGGACGAATGCCAGGCCATCACCAAATCGAGTCTCGCCATGTTTCTCAATACTCCGATAGACGACCTGCCAGGCTCTTTATCGATAAAGTCTCCGATTCTCACTCGTCGGAAGTCCGAGGCATGCTTGAAAGAAAAGGCCCAAGTCTCGGATCAGCAACTCAAGCGAGAATCGTCCCATTTGATGTCTCCCTTCGTCGAACGCGTGTCAGCATCGAAGAGGCTGCCCAGTATGCATAGATCATGGTCCAATCCCGTTCCTGTGCGGGAATGGCATGACAAACACATCCGGAAGTGTGATCGAGATCTTCTCTGGATTGACCAGCGCACCATCTTTGACTGCCTCCGCCGCTTGTTGATCTTGTGAATCTGAGCAGCCTTAAATGACCATCGGTCGGAAAGAAGCCGGGCTGGTTGAAGACGATATGCGTCTTGGCGAGCCTTGGCCACAAGCAGAAGTCGCGGATGGTTCACCTCCATACCGATGCAACCCAGTGGACAGCTCGGAAACTCGCGTGGAGGCGAAGTGCGAGGAACGCGCCAGAGACGACACTTTAGCACTCGGGTGGCGACGCATGTGGTAGCAAACGTATCGGTGGACTGTCTAGTCATTTACCGGCGGAAGCTGAAGAAAAGCGGATCGATCGGCAACGTCCGATCGGAACGAGGACTTGGTGAATTGGTCGTTGATGGGCCGGGAAATTCCCGTCAAGAAATGGTTGGGCTGAGACCATACCGTTCGGATACAATGCCATGCTTTCGGAAACAGATAGGTAGTGATACGTCGACTGTCTATGATCGGGATCGGGGCGCAACGGGCGACACTGTTGGCGAAGACGTGATGCCCGAGGGCGTGTTCGATCAGCTAGTCGAACCAGGATTTTTCGAAATTTGGGGATGGATTTGGGTTTACTTCGAGCCATTCAATGCTTTTTTGCTCGGTATCTTTCTGACTGCCGGTGATTCGGCATGGTTGAGTTGTTTTGTGGACGTCGTTGGTGGCGGGAATGTCCGTGTATGGGTTGCTTTAGGAAGATTCATCTGGTCGAAAATCGTTACGGCGTAGGTATTCCATCGAGTGCCACTGGACTGCAGTACCACGTGACATACCTAGGAAGTACAAGCTGACCCCATTTATCCCCACAATTTCTCCAACTCAGGTCAACCACAAAATTCGCAATTGGTCAGAATAAAGTAGAGCTAGTCTCCTATTGGGTGAGACCCCGCATGCTTTGTACTGAAGTCCAGTGGCACTCGATCAGACAGGCTTCGCATTTTGCGAGATCACGTCGGTGCGATAGCACAGGGAAATCAACTTTCTTCTGAGGCAGGAAAAAGCCAACCGAGCACCACGACGACGACGAGGAGAACAACGACACCAGCCCTGACAATCGACCATACGGGACATCGTGACGATAAGAGATTGTCGACTTGCCCTCAGGGTGTAGCTGAATCCGAGTCCGCCCCCTCCGCTTTTCTGTTTGCCTGGCCACTCCGCCAAGGTTGAGATTACACGCTTCGCGTCTTGACTATGGTGACCGGCTTCTGCGTATTCTGAACCCAGGCTCCTATCGTCAGGTACCCGAGGCAGACAATCTCTCCTCGCATTTGAAACCCCTGGTTCTACATTACATGCCACCTTCCCACCCTTACAAGATACAAAGGAGGCTTACATACACTCTCTCCAGTCTGGAGACTTGGATCAAATCCGCTTGACGCTCAACCCAAGCGCCAGTCGACAATCTTCAAAACCTGTTCCAAGGGAAAGACGACGACAAAGGATCCAGAGCTGAAGCCCGAGCTTCCACCCGTACAACAACTGTTCTTGAACCCGAGCACGAGGTCGAGCCGGACCTGAACGGTCCGGTGCTCCCCCAGCCGACTACCCCAACTCTCGCGAAGTACTCCACCACGACCTCCAAACTTCGAGTCGTCACGCGCGATATCGCCCAGTCGACGTTGCAGCGCCTCATCGACGGCTACGATGACAAGCCCGGCGGCGGCTACCCTGCTGAATTCCGGCAAGACGGCTGCCTAGTTGTGCAGAAGAAGCGTATCTGGAACGCAAATACCGACAAAGACGCTCCCTGAACTCGCCCTGATGGATATGACTTTACAGCAACGGCCAGGTCCAGATCGCGCCGGTCATGGCGTCGACGACGTTCGCAGCACCGCAAGACAAAAGACGCTCTTCAACAACTGAATGCGGCCGACCAGCCCACGAATCGGGAAGCTCGTGATGAGGCGCGGGTTGTCTCTTCCGTCTCGGGTCAACAACTCTATCGGGTCCAATCCAAGTACGTACCATCAACTTCCTCCTCGTTGGCACCATCACCCTACCAAAGGCGGTATATTCCCGAGCTACCGCAACGTCCATTGCTAGCACGTGCAGCCAGTTCAACTCGACAACCCGACGAAGACCACGCTGATCTGACCCCAGGCCTACTAGTTCCCGAACCGCGACCTCGCCCTACGTGTGACGGATTTGACGGAGGGGATGCTGCGAAAAATCAAGATCAAGGACGCGCGAGAACGGACGAGTAAAACGAAACCGAAGGAGTTGAATAAGGCGTACAGGCAGGAACGTACGAGGTTCGATGGGCAAATGAGCACAATGCGAACAACGAGACTGTGGTGTCAACACGGGAAGCTTGAGAAGGGTTTCGCTGCTTGTGGAAGTCCGTTGTCCCGCCCAAATTCGGTAGTTGCGGTCACGGTACCCCGTTGACTGGTCAGATCCTCATACTGGTCAAAACATTACTGCTGGCGAGCCCGGTTTAACAGACGACGGGATGGTGCCGAGAACTTTCTCGACGGGGATTCAGGCAAAGAGCAGCGGCGGGGGGCGGAGTCGTTGTTGCGCTAGCGTCAAACCCGGAATGGTAGAGGGCAAAAGCGCCATTCGGGAGACCAACTCGGAGCTGGACATCTTCGCGGGGTTACTTCTCGAGACGGCGACAATTGCGGTTATTCTGCTCTCGTGAACCGTCACACGGGTTCGCTCAATTCCATGGCGCGAATTTAGCAGGGATGAGTCTCTGCGGCAGTTACAATTCGGTCACCAGAGCCGCCCCAATCAGGTGATACAGCTAGGTAGTAGACACTGACAACCCTGTACGCTGTCAGGACCGCACAAGGCATGGCCTGGAGTGGGAGTGGCCTGAAGCAGTAGCCTCTACTGAGCTGCAGAGAACACTTGTTTTTCCTGCGATGACACGCCGAAGGACCACGAATGTTGGAGGGATTCGAGATTTGGAGAGCTGTGAGACGGCGCTATTAGAGCGACGGACTGCGGATGCAACAAGGAAGTGGCGTCGCGCAAGAGAGCGGCCAGGTATCTCACGGAGTAGAGGCAGTCTGGTGCTGATGGGCTGGCGGGCCGGCATTGTTTGACAAGATGAAGGCCGGCTGTGACACCCCGAGACGGCGCCACGAGCTGGGCACGCTCCCTGTCAAGCATAATCGGAGGTACTCGCCTGGACTCCAAGTAAGAAGCAGCCGAACATGCAGACTGGGGTGCTTTTGGGGGTTGTGGTTGAGCCATTGGCGGTGCGATGAATGGCAGTAAAACCCGAAGATGTTACTCTTCGTACATGGGCCGCCTGGGTCCGGAAATATCAAGGAAGAACAAGGCGCCGCAATTGCCCGAGAACGGACGCCTAGAGATGAACGACGACGAGAAGGGATCGAAGGACCTGAAAACTTTTTGGCAAACTCGCAATAAAGTGATGGCTTAGTGGTGGAGCGAAAAGGGTGTACTGGCGACGCGTACGTCGCGAAAGCACCCGAGATGGTCGGGCATGAGGTTCTTGGCACTTTTGCGGGCGTCGGTGCGAATTCGAGCCATGGGTAGAAGCAATGGTTGAGGGCCAGGCTGTTGGCATCGACGGCTGGTTCAGAGGCAATCCCATGGCCGGAATGCATAATGCCGCCCGCCCAACTCGCTCAGTCATCCTTGCAAGGCCGCCCGATCCAAGGCCAAGCCGACTCGAAGCGAACTTGGTTTCCGTGGCTTTCGCGGGCGAGTGGCCCGATGTGGCCTGTGGGACGCGGGTCTTGTTTCCGGGAGATTGCTGTGGATAGACCACGACGCATTGGAGGCCTCGACAGATTGCGTAGTTAGATGGAGGCCCAAGGGCGCGGTGAGCATATGGGGACAGCGCGATGCTGCACAAACTGCCTCGGAGCCATCCGCCAACAATCAGACGGCGGGGTATGTAGGTGTCCCTTCCCTGACCCTTCCGTGTGTCCCAAACTCTTTGTCGATATAGGTTCGGTCCATGAGATGCCCGCGGCTAGCTATTGCATTCTACTGTGATGATAGCAGGAGAATTTCTCTCCCGTTTTCATTGGATGGCGAGCGAAGATGGGACGCACTGTTGCGAGCCTGGCAGACGTGGCAATCGATCGACAAGCATCTCTGCATGCTGGGAAGAGACTTGAATGGGAGCGGGCGGCATCGTAAACGGAGGATTTGTAGGATTCGTTGAGTAAGAGATCTGGAAGAGAAGATCGTGTAAGCAAGCGAATACGAGTCTGAGGGTGATACATCGTGGAAAAGCGTACTCATCGCGAAGGATACCCTGCGCCTTAGTCTCGCCTCGGTCTCGTCTCGATCTCCGAGCCCTTGTCGTTCGAGCCCCGGTGTTAAAGAAGGACGGCCATTCATGACACATGTATGTTGGCCGGCGTGCCGCGCCCGAAGAAAAATGTTGCAGTGTATCGCATGATCGAGGGCGTTGTCGGAGGAGGCTGTTCTTGTGGGTGATTGTTCTCGATGGGAGTGAGGTTCGGCCATCTCTGAATGCCAACGTGCGCTGGTTGTAGGCCGAAGGTGATGTCAAAAGGTCGACGGCGCTTCCATTGGCGAGGTTGTGTCGGAGTGGCGGCATCGAAACATCGAGGTGGCAGCTGCCTGGATAGGGCAGAGGTCGTATCGACATGGAAGAGGCAATTGACGCTTGGTCTCGCGCGGGTGATCGTCAGTCGGGCTTCAACATGCTCGTACTCCCGATCAGGTCGAATGTCGGGGAGGTTTACTTGTGACTGAGTTCGAGCTCGGCCACCAATCGATCGAACAAGTTAGGGTCGGAGGTTGGGAGCAACCAAACCCTGCTGCCGAGAGAACGAAGGCGAGAAAAGTCAGGAATCGGAATCGTGGTCGGGGTCGGGGTCGGGGTCGAGTTCTCGTACGAGCAGAACAGCTAGTACGCCTGCAATTGGCGGCATGGCGAGATAGGATGCGTTGAGCTCCCACGCTCCGTAGCAATATCGTGGGTAATGATGGGAACTTGTTGCGACGTCGTGGATTGAAGACCGAACGCATTTGGCTCACCACGTGACGTGAGTAACGTGACTGGAGCTATGACGCAAATATAAGCGTTGTGGCATGAATGGTTAGTAAGCAAGATCCCCGCCGATAAGGGATCCAAGTGGGAGATAAGGAACCTTGAGGCTTGAGCTTCAATTGAGAAATTGGATTTTTTCCCGCTGCGCTGCAGTCCTGTGTTGCTTGAAATGATGGCCGGGTAGCTTCGTCTCTATATTCTTACATCATCGCAGATATAACTCTGCTGTGCATCTGATACATGGTTCTTTGGTACTCGATTACCGCGGGAGGCAATTCCTCCTCCACTATGTCCGTCCTCCTTTCGCACATGTTGGCGCTCTCAAGCTTCCCCGCTGCCAACTGAGCGGTCGGAACCGACTCAGACTGGGATTGTCTGTTGTGCTCAGCAACGTGGGTTACATCGTTGCACGGCTCGTTGTGAGGTTTGCAATCCAAGTCGCCAAAATGAGAAAAGAAGAGCGATTCGTCGATAAAGTCATACTGTTTCCAGAAGTCAGCTGCTTGGACTCTTTGTGCATCGGTCTCATGATGCAACTCACGGAAGATGTGGAGGACGCCGTGACCCGGACCTGAGGATCCTCGCTGGAAGCCGGCCCGGAAGAAGTGGGACGAGCCGTAGTGTGAGTGTTATCGCCGATGTGTTCTATCGGGATAGGGGTGCCGGGCCGAAACCCAACTCCCCCACTTACGGGCGGTCGCGAGTATGGCGAGTATCTCCGGACCGACCGTGCTCTCATCTTCTGGCGCTTGCGCGAGCAGCTTTCATGATGTGTAGCGTATCTCCACTGCTCCATCCGGCGCATACAGTCCTCGCAAGTGGCCGGGCGGAGGTCGCAATCGATTGCATGCAGCGGGGATAGTTCGTCGCATTCCTCGCAGCGTGGGTACTCCAAAAACAGCGACAGCGGATAGATCAGACACGGGATGACCATGGCGAGGAGATAGTGGTACAAGTCGAAGGGCTGAATCTGATGAATGGAATGGAATGGCAGCGGGCGTTGCACAAGGGCACACCGAGCTGTATTTAATCACGTCGATTTCCCCGGGCCGATGCACACGAAGAAGCACCGGTATCAACATCTGCTGCTGGACCGTTTGCCATTTGGGTGGTTTTCTGCATCGCGGACAATTGCAGACACGGCGTCTCGGTTCGAGCGACGAGGCCTTGATCGCAAACAAAGGCGGGCGGGTGGTCTCCTCTGGCCCAGCATTAGGTCGCATTTGTCGCTCAATGGGGAGAATGCTGGGTAATTGGGCGTTTGAACTCCACCCCGACGCATCATGGCTCGCCATTTCCTGGTGTGTTTCCGCTGCTCGTCACGGCAGCCTACATAGATTACGCTCAGCGATGGGCCCTGCGGACGACGTGGAAGCGTGAGGTCACGGCGGGATTCGCGCACGCGGACGCCATGGGACATGATGCATCAATAGCGCATCTTGTCAACCACACCGGAGAGCCCTGGCCTGGTTTGTTTGGTGCAGGCTGGTGTAGGGCTTCTTTTCAACGGTTGCTACTCACCGGTCGAGGCATCTTGGGTGAGGTTACAACAGATAAGATTTCAGATGAGGGGTAAGACACACACACGGCGCTGCTCATGCTCTGGCACCACCCAGCTTCCAACGAAGAGGCAACTTGCCATGACGGGGAAAAAAAGGAGAAAAGTGCGGGAACAATATGAGAAAAGGGCGAAGAAACAAGAAATTCCAGCGAAATCAACAGCCTTGCTGAGGTGTTCTGCTGAGGTTCTGCGCAATATGGAACACGAAAGACATGGTGCCGTGATGCACTGCGGAGTAGAATTAGGCATAAATCCCAATTCATAACACTCAATCCAGATTTTATGACAAATGAATCTCTCTTATACATGTTATGGAAATTGCACTAAGCCTGTGCATAATCCCCGCATCCCCCGCTACCTGTTATGGAGGTCAGGTCAAGGTACCTCCTTGGTGTGACCAGTAAAATCGGTCACAGCAGGCACTGAGGTGTGACCCCCAAACTTTGGTCACACCTCATTGGCTGCAGTAGTACAAGCCGACCCCTACACGTGCTGTGTTTAAGGTGTGCTCTGCAACTCAGACCCACTATACCCCAGTCACAAAATTCGCTTTTGGTCTTGATTGGTGAAGCTACACCGGGAAAAGTGAGGTTATCGCGAGTAAGGAAAAAAAAAAAAAAAAAAAAACGGTACGCCATCGGAAGCATTTGTCCCCAGCGGCTGGCCCTTTCATGTTGTAGACCGCCCAAGTCTCCGAAAGGGCCACCGAGACCAACTGCATCCATCTCTCCCCTGCTCTACGGGCTGTGACGACAGCAAAAGATAGCTCCACGCTCCGCATGATGCGACCCCATGAGAGCTGAACCGTCGGAAAACTGGGCACACGTCCCCTTGTCTTCGGTTCCTGACTGTCTCGACGCTCTCACCCTCATTTTCGCCATGAAAGGAGCTTGCCATTTCCGCTGTCGAACCACATAGCCAGTTCAACATTGCGGGCGGTGCCCGTAATCAGAGGCACGGCTTGATACCCCCGTCTCTTGAGGGTTGTGTGGCCTACGGTAACATCACAACGTCGAGCTGACTTACCATCGGTTGGACAGAAATAAGAACAGGCCCCAACATGTTTGCTGTACACTCAAATCATCACCGTTGTCCTCTCAGCAAACCCCGGCCAGAGCTCCGCCAGCCCCGCGATCAACAGCTACCTGCGCCATGGGAACGGCGACGGCGACCCATTGACCGTAGAGCTCCGGTTGTGATATCTAGTAAATAACACTAAGAGTCGCGCTGGACGTGCGGATTTCCACGGATTGAGTGAAGCCTCCGGTACTCTATCAGGTGCTCTGAGTGGAGTTGGCGGCGACTTGTAGAAGAGGACAGCCGGTAGCCGTGACCTTGCAAACCTGATCGGGCAGCCGCCCCCCCACCTACCTACCGTCGTACATTCCTCGACCTTAGGACTGCGTCGCCGATTTTTTTTCTTTTTTTTGTCGCGCACAACCCGCATCGCCGCTGGTTAAGCATATTACGACTCAACAGTCCCATCCAACGATTGTCACCAAACATCAAGGCATTCTCGACACTGCCCTCCGCCGCCGCGCGCATCCAGACAACAACCTCTCTCAAACAAAATCGCGACACATTCTTTCCCCAAACACCCGTCATAGCATGATCGCACCGACCAGTGACATCACGTGCTCCCAGCTATCATAGTTCGTTTACCCCCTTCCAGCCGCCAATGAAAGATCCTCGCCGCTGACATAGATGCTCAGACAAATCCAATTACCTCAATGCCTTCCGGACATGAGACCGAGCTCAGCTCAACCGATACCCACTCGACCCGGTCACCAGACGATCGCACTCCGCGGAGGCCCCCACCCAGAACAGCGACATCGTCACAGTTCACAACCATAAGGTCGGCATCAACAGATGTGTGAATCTTTTGGTGGCCCGGTCTGGCCAGTCGCTTGCAGATTCGACGTGGGAGAGCGAGAGAAGTGTGCAAGCCGAGTGCCCTGACGCCGTACCCACCTATTAGAAGGGGGTGGAAAACGGGCGTGACGGTGCCCTGGGCATCGATTCTACTGATCCTAGTACGGTCTGGGAGGTTTTCAAAATCATCGGCCAGAGAGGCAGCTCCAAGAAACAGAAACTCCTCGTGTGTTGGCTCGGGTACACCGAAAAGGAATCGACATGGGTTCTGACCCAGATCCTTCGAGAGGATATCCCCGGCATGGTCCGCGAATACTTCGAGGAGGCGAGATTGACGAAGAGCCGTCGGTGAAGGGCCACATGGGCCAAGATCTTCATTTTTCTTGAAGAAAACGGCTGTCGCTCCAGGTTTGTTCAATTCGAGCAACTCGCCGCATCTTGTCATTCGTCACAGACACTAATATATGTGATGGGACAGATACAACCTTCTATCAAAAGTTCCGAAGACGGTCGACCGATCAAAGGGCGTGTACGTGTACTAGAACCAAGATGGGCGGCGATGGATGGAGACAGGGGAAGTGGTGTGACATTCGCGGTCCCTCGAGACGAGAGACGATAAAGGTCTCAATTGCTACTGAAGAGTCTTCTACGTTCGCCAAAATCACGTATATCTATCCGTTTGTTGTCGCACCAGGCCAGGTCATCGCAGGCCCTCTGCGAGTCTCCAATACACCGTATTCCCCCGTCCTCGACCATGCTGCAACGTACCTCAGAATGAACCAGTGTGTCTGATGCCTCGGCATTGCAGCAGTGGCACGATACGTTCACCGTGTTGCCTTGGCCAGTCGCTCATCTTCGCCACAGAAGCTCGTCGTGGACTTCCTACTCATCGTTTTCGCGGCATCTATAGTCACCCGCATGTTAAAGGCGGCGGTCACACCGGGCCACGTCTCCAAACAGCCGATGAAGACATCCGCGCAGCAGGCCCAGAGTTTGAATCCCAAATGGCGCGCGTCGGCACTATGTTCACCACTGCAGCGAGGACCTCTTTCGAAGCTGGAGGCCAGTATCCAGGGGGCCGAGAGCATCGCGTTCACAGCTGGATTGGGACTGGATTCTTCTACGGGTCTATCGAGACGATCGTCGACACAGCTGGGAATTACCGGTTCGTGTCCGTCGCGGCTGGGGGAGTTGCGATATGTGTTTTCAATGCCCTAGCCAACTTCTGCCACAAGTTCCACACGCACACACATCCCAACTGTTGCTCATAGCATTCCCGGCCACGCGATATGCACTTCGGAGGTGCTCCATTACATGTGTGGCCGAGTTCCGTGGTTTCAGAAGCGGAATCACGAGTTCGCTTCGTGCATATCGGCCAACCGCAGAGGAGAAGGCGGGACAGGTGAGAGATAAGATGGGGAAAGTACCCAGGTATGAGAATTCAGGTGGAAGAGGCTGCAGAAGAGGTCCATTTCATTAGAACAAATTGTTTGCTGGGCATTCTGTGGTCGGGTCTACGTTCATGGGAACCTCTCCCTTGTGGTCGCCTTGTGAAAAGCAGATGATGCCTCGGGACAACAACATGAAGTTCATCTATTAAGCTGATTAAGGCGATGTCCTAGCACGCTGGCCCAAGTCCATCCAGATGACAGAGATCTCATAATGGCGCATAGTAAGGTAGTTGCAATGTAAAGCCAATTCTTTCTGAATCTTCTCAACCACCTTCCCTGTCCGTCTGATTCTTGTGAGCGCGCTGCTCGCCAGCGGCCTCGAACTCGTCCGGCAGCATATACTTTGACTGCTCGATTTCTTCTATTTGTTGGGTCGCGGATGGACTGAAGGGAGGCCAAGAAGACCCTTTCAACGTATGATGACTGCCCGCCTGAGATCGACCAAGCCGGCTCCTCAAAATCGCACTCCATGCTTATCGTCCGTCACCTGCGTTCAAGGGTTACAGGGAACCGCGACCCAACACAGTGATCTTGAGAAGAACAAGCAGAAGCTCGGCAGTTCCCGTTCGTCAGCATAGATTACCGGCAGACCGCACTGCCCCATTGCACCGTCAAATTCGACAATCTGACCCCCTAATGGATGCTTCTCTGCAGCAGAACATTCTCTACAAGCTGGATGGCCATTAGCGCCAGAGACGAGACCGGGTTCTCCGGTGCGGCCGGCCGGACCGACGTGCAAACCGCAAAGCGGACGCAGCAGCACAACCCCAGGAGCGACCACGATAGATTCGCGTAGGCGGGAAGTTCCGAATCAGGTCTCCAACAGCCGCAACACCTCTTTCTTGTACCAGGGCTAGCGTACGGTCTCATTCCAGTTCTTAAGAAACTGCAGCACACACACGATCTGATAGACACCCGTGAACTTTGCGGTCGATCCAATGTGCTGACTCATCCAAAGAGTCTACTGTCTACATCAAGTTAGTCAACTATTCTAGATGGGGAACCAAGCAAGAAACTATTGCACTTACGACCTGGTCGCCTCGTTTCGTGCTCGCCACAAACGACCACTCGTGACCTTAGATGATGATCCCTGGAAGGAAGTTGGGCAGCTTCGCCCGCGCCTCGCCCGTGTGACGAGCCGTTGCCATGTCACCAGCTGCGTCTCGGCGCTGCTCAACCCCTCGACGTGAATCTTAGTCTCGATACTGAGGGCGATCGGGCGCGCCTAGAGCGGAGGAAATTGTTGTAGTTGATAGAGACCCTGGCCAGGGGGTCCTGATCGCGGGGTGGTGGTTATAGCGGTGGCGGCAAGGGCCTCGGGGCGTAGACACGCGTAGAAGTCGATCTTGCGGCCGTTAGCGTCAGCATACTCGGAGATGATGCCTGCAGATGTACTAGAGAAGAGTCAGCCACGGCCTAGACGGCTCTAGGTTGGAAGATGTGGAAAGTACCATGGGATTATCGCAATGAGATCTTCCGTGTTTTGCCAAAGGCTTGCAAATGTGAGTTCGAGGATGCGGCTGTGGACGATTTGCCCGCCTCATCCATCTGCTTATTACAGCAGCACATGCCCCGTTGAATGATGTCAAGGACGACAGCAACGGACGGCGTGGGGCCGAGGGCTGTGCGAGCGCCGGGCTGATCCTCATAGAAGCTCTCAAAGACGTCCTGCTCGTATTCCGGAAATGTCTTCTGGGCAGCCTCAACGGCGTCCTGGATGGATAGTCAGCGGGAAGCACCTCAGCCGGCCACCATTCAGCAGATAGCATACCTTCCCCAGGTGCCCTATTATGCCGATCCCCTTGTCATATCTGTCGATAGCTTTCCATACAGCCCTAAGAGACTCGGGCGCCTCCTTGCTGCTATACTGCCGGGAAATCGCATTCTTAACGGTAGATCGGCTCTATTCCGGGGCGAGGAGCCGCTCCAGCGGGAGGACGTGGCCGTGAGCGGAAGACCCCAGGGCGGGAGCACCTTGGTCTTCTTAGACCTAGGGATACAGTCGTTTTCTAGGAATGAGGATGCAACGCTGGAAGATTCCGCTTCGTCATCTTGGGATCGTTTCGTGGGGGATTGGGACATTCCGGCTGAGTTCGCAGGGCTCAGAAGCTATCGACGCTACGAGGACGCGCATGGGTTGGGGCTTCGGAAGCGGCATCGCTTGCTGCACTTTGCGTTGCGATAGGGTCGTGGGGATCATGAATCGAGGTCAAGGTTGAGGTCGGGGTTGAAGGCGGGCAGATTCTCAATCCAAGCCCTAACGAACTGCTGCCAGGCTGGCTGGGGCGTCTACAGCGGGCCGCAGTTCAACGGTCGATGGGCCCGGATGAAGATAGAATAATCTGGAGATAAAAGCCGCGATGTTTTTTGTTTGTCGCTGTCGTCGCTGTCGTCGCTCTCGTGGTTGGTTGTGACGGAAATGCGGTCTTCAGAAACAAAAAAGAAGTAAAATGCATCAGCTCCGGGTCATACACCATTAGGCGGGAGGACGACTACGCTAAACCTAACGAGGTTAAGCAAAGCCCAAGCTCAGACCAGGGGATTCATTAGTGCCATCCTCACTCCTTATATGCATATGCACGATTATCTCCACTAGTGCAGCCTCTGTACTTTCTAGATATGCAGCCCATACCTGCATTTTATATTTTATGCATTTCACTGCTCACCCCGGATGCAACCCCAGATGCAGCCCGCCCAGCTTCGGGCGGTCACTGGGCCTCAGAAATTATCAATGATTCCGAGTTGATTCAGGGCTTTTCTATTGAAATACAGTAGTCGCGAGTTATACATAACCCGGGGGAACATGATCGTGAAACAACACAAGGCGCTGACTGGTGGTGACGATGCCCTTGGCTGCGGTTTTAATCGTGCGGCGGTATGGAGGGCAGCCGAGTTCAGTGGACAGAAAGCAGAGTGAGCTTCACATCTTAGCGCCCGTTCTTTTGGCTGCTAGCGGGTACTAGCGGGTATTATCGGATATTGCCGGCCTCCACAGACCACGCCTATTGCAAAAAAAAAAAAAAACCACGATCGGGAATTGAAATGTGAGGCTGCAGTACTTCCCACTACCTAATTCGCGGAACATGAATAAATGTTCAGATTTTAGTAAGAGAAACCAAATGGTGCGAAAAGTAGTTCTTTTGGCCTCTTTAATTTGCAATTTTCTTCCATGCCTGTTTCTGTTGGTCCTCTTCCCAGGCACCAGGGGAAGCTCGGTGCCTCAGAGACCGAGGTGTGCCGCACGGGTAAAGTTCGGCTGACGTAATTCCGACACAGCTGTTGGATCCGATTCCATTTGCCTCTTTTCCAACGTCAATTAGCCGACAACCTGCACCATCAACAGCCCGAATCACCAAACGACGCAATGCCGAGCTCTGCTTGCCGATACGTTTTTGACTGCTACCCTCAACAAGCTCGTCATTCCTACGCTCTCTCCCAGCGGTGCCCGCTCGCTAGGATCTAGGACACGTGTTCGCAGCGCCGCGCGACGACCGAGGTCACCATGGACCAACGAGGAGGAGGAGGTGCACTTTGAGCGCACTTGATATTCGACGCGAAGACATCACGAACTCACAAACACATCGGGAAGAAGATGAACGGTTCTGTTGCTGGTTAGGCAGCTTGTCGCCAGGTAGCTCGTCGCCAGGCAGCTCGTCGCTCTCGCCGGTGACTCCTTGCTCTGGAGCTCGCCGGGCACCTAACTTTTCCTTTTTCGACATCCCCGATCCTATGCTCCTCGACCCTGCCTCCTCGATTCCGACTTCCTCGTACGGATCTTGTTGAGTTACGGCGATCTTCATCGTTTCCGTAGGTGGTCTGCGTCCTCCGACGTCTGTTACAACCGAGGCGAAGCCGCTGTCATTTCAACAAAGTGCCGCGCACAACGTGACGCGCTAGTTGTCATCGTGATCCAGTGCGTGAAGCGACCACCTCATCAGCAGCGAGGGAATTTGCTCGTCCACGTCGACAGCGATCCGGATTTCCGCGCAACGACAAGCCGATGACGCCGGCATGTACGCCACAACCTGATGTCGCGTCACTGCGACGGTTGCCCTTCAGCGAGCTCCCATTCTCTTCTTCTCCCACCTCTACAATGAAAGGTAAGACCTTCCAATAGTACGCACTATCCAGTAGCGAGGACTTGGCTAACGCGTGGTTCCCTAGGGAGGTGTGCATTTTGGAAACCCGCCCGGGCCCGGGTCTGATCTTGGCTTGCCTTTTGTATGCGAACGAACACTCATCGACTCCTCTACTACATCGATATCTGCTGCGACCGGAACGATTGATACATGATGGTGCATCCCCGCGGAACATGGGCACATGTGATCGTTGCAGCGTGGGAGGCAGAGCTTGCTGGCCGAGTCCCATCGACGTACCCCGACGGTTGATTTCCGTCGCATCCAAATGCATTGAACTGCGGCGGCACATCTACTCCTGTTCGAGTAGCGCGGGCTTCTCGGTGGCCACGAATCCACGCCCCTCGCCAAGCAGGACACCAACAGCAACCATGTATCATCACGACTTCTCTCCATCTCTCTCCCTCGCAACCATCTGCCTACTCCACTTCACGCAATTACTCACGTCGCCCGGTGGCTATGGGGACCAGGCGCAGTTGTGCCGAGGCGATACAATGCCGTGGAGTCACCTCGCCTCTATGCGGACGCAGTCACGGAGTATGTTTCTCACGGCATGAGAGAGCATGTTCGAAGGTTGCAAAGGTGGTGAAGGTCACAGACTGGCACCGTATACCTTATTCTGCTCGGGCTGAGGTCTGCTCTGGTTTGCATGGGCCGACCAATGTGCTGCTGCTGCTGCACGTACTGCCTGAGGTAGTTGCCGCAGCACCACGCGCGAGCGAGGCTCACGCATCTCGTGGCTTCGGGGTGTCGTAGCGGATTGGGCAATTTTTTGTCCTGCTCCCTTGTCTCCTTCGATCCTTATCTCCTGGGCTCGTGTTTGTGACCCGACTTCGTCGACGTCCAATCCAAATGATGTCGTTGAGATACCTCTGATCATACGAGACCAGGCCCCCGGTACACTTCTCTGATTGTGTGCATCAACCACGTTGGCCATCTTCCGATGCTTGAAGTGTTGAGCCCAACTCCGGGGAAATCCGGCATGCCCCTTCCCGCCATCTGTATATGCTGCACCAGCTGCCGAATTCTCGAGCTGCCGATTTCAGCTATCTACATCATTTGCATCTGGCCACCACCCACCCACTCTCTCCGATTCGTCACAAACAACAGCATTATTGCCAACAGGCCCTTCGTCCCCTGAGCTTTGCGACATCTTCGGTCTCGACCTGCCTCATCATTCTCGTGTTGGGCAAATTCGAAATGCACTTCGATCCAGCGCGGATCCCTGCCGTTTACCGCAATGCCATTGCTGTCGCACACGGCCCAGCGGCCGCTATCGTCGACTTCGCCTTTGCATCCGGCTTCCCTAGTGCTTGTCTGCCACTTCGCCTTCTATCAACCCAGAACAGCTTTCTCTATCGGTCCAGCCCCAACAAGAGGTTTCGCCTCTCCTCTGTACCATACGGATTCGATGCCATGTCCTCGCATCACTTTGACGCCAACATGATCGCGAACCTGACGACCCCGTGACCGACGCCCCGAACTAAAGCCTTCGTCGTGCTAGGAGAAGAACTCGGCGAGTTGCAGGATGATGTTTCCGGCCCTCTTGCGTCCCCAACCCCTCGTCCGACCCAAACAAGCAGGCAAGCAACAAGAGTCACCAGTCGCCCACCTCCCTTCATGACTACACGTCCCAGATCACCGACCAAGGCCCCAACTAGAAGCCCGGCGAAGCCTCGGGAGAAAGCGACGATCACATTACCCAGAACGAAGGCTGCCGCTCAATCTCGCCCTCTAGAGTACGTTCGCGCCTTGGCCCCTTGACTGACAACGAATCACTCAACCCTATACTGCTTAATGCTGGTCTTGCTGTGGAGTCACTAACTAACCTGTCTTAGGCGGCTTTTCTAAGGCCATTGAAGCAGGCGATTTCATTTTCCCATACTCGAGACAACCTCGATCATGGCGACGACGCCGTCTGCACCAAGAACAGCCAGGTCTTCGACGGCTTCTCTATCTTCCGTCGCCCGCGCGCCCACGAAACCACCAAGGAGATCGAGCTGAACCACAACACACACAAAGTACGAAGAGGAGCTCATCCTCGCTTTCAACGACGACCCCTTGGCCGGCCTTTGAGATAGCCCAGGCGTGTCTTAGCGATACCGATACCATACGAGAGCGAATCACCAACCGCTTCGCCTTCTTCAACGTCGTAGCCGCAATAATTGGCCCAAACTACGTTCCCGCCCACAACGTTGATTTCAATCTGCAAACCCGCGTGGTTGGCCACTGCATCATTTTCTACGGTCTCGAGGCGGAGGCCGAGTCGAGTAAACGGGTCGAATGCGAATCAGAGACGCAATTGCCAATACCAGGCCTCCGACCAAGATCATAGTTTCTCTACACTCAGATCATGACAGCAATGTCATAACCTGATGCTTGAGCTCTGCGAAGTCGGCGAACTCGGCCTCATCCTAGTAAACCAAATCAAGTTCGTTTGCAGTGCATTCATTGCGGTCGGCATTTGTTGACACCTCTTTCTTCTCCAGCCTCAGGTAGCAATATTGATCGCGGAAGACGGTGTTGCTGCCGCAGTCTCAGCGGCGTTATCGCCGTTACAACCGAGGCCAGGATCAGCCTCCTCCTGCAAGCACTCAATGTAGTTCCCAGGGATGCCAAGGATAGAGGATTCGTCGTGAATGTTTGCCAAGTTCAGCGGAACCACATCACGGCATCAATGATGTCAGAGGACGACAACAGAGCTACGGCAATCACACTCCCACAATGTCGGCTCCATCTTTTCTACACGTAACACAGACACTTTCAGAATCTTGATTCATCAAATTCTAGCAAAGGCAACTAGCCCTGTCCTGTTATCACACCAACATCTCAGGGCTGCCTCTGGGATGCCGCTTCACACCCTCCGCTCGATCCTGGCGTTGGGGATGAGCTCCAGCGTCGCCTACGCAGCCACCTTCGACTTCTCTTCACCGACGACGTCGGCATCGATGCCCCAACCAAGCCGGTCGTCCAGACTTCAACTCTGCCACGCGCATGCCGGAGTTACTGCTCAGTCACAACCGATATCGACAGCGTACGCGGCATCACCACCACCATACTCTATGTGTTCTCTGAGAACGAATAGTGGGCTGGAACGGCATCATTCCCGGGGCACGAATGCAGCGGTTCATGCGGCGCGACCGGTCTTAACTACATCTGCTGCTACGACATCAGTCCAATGCTTGATTCAGCGAAGGCTACATCTTCCACAACGACGAAACGGTCCACAGCAATACCGAGACCAACGTCACGATTCCGACCTGGAACGCTTTCCAAAACAACCGCACGAAAGAGTTCGACTTTTCCTGTCAACAAAATGCACCTAACCACCGTATCTACAAAGACCATGATCGACTTCTACTACAGCCCCCTTGCCCGGCGCTCAATGTTCCGCGGGGGTTCTGACGGCGAGCTTCAGGGCACATTGGCCATCGCGCGCTATCCGCACGACTATTACACATCGTCGCCGTCGATGGAGGCTTGACGAGACTGGCGTCGGCCACGTGCAGTACCAATACTTGGCGCTGGCCAGTCGCTACACCAACGCCACCTAGATACTGTCCATCGACGACCTGTACACCCTTAACGCTGGTGCTATCAGAGCTTGTGACGCCCACACCAGCGTCATTGACGGCCTCATCGACCCGTCGTACACCCGCGACTGGGACCCTGTCCTCCAACGGCACCGCCGCCCGCGCGCATAGCCTTCCGTCCAAATCCATCTCCGATCAGCTCGTCGTCGGCCGCTTGAACCCCGGCCCTGGGCCAGGCAGATCCATGTACGACCGAGGCAGGCGTTGACTGTGCCACGTTCTTCTGCCGAACCGCTGCTTTTTAGCAGGACCTGCCTTGGTCCTGGACCCTCGACGAACAACTTTGGGACCTTGGCCCGCACCTGCTTGACCCCATGAAGGACCTGTACACCGCTAACCTTAACGGTCTGGAGATCTATTGCAACAAGAGCGGCAAGAATGCACTATCAAGACTCGGCTAACCTCGGCGTCTCTCTGGGTTCAAGAAGTAGCTGCACCGAACATCACTGACGAGATCGGCCTCAACGTCACCCACAACCTCTACCGCCGCTTCCTCAACGCTGGCACAGCCCATATCGACATCCTCATGAATATCAACGGCACTGTTGACTGGCACGCTGTTCCTCTTGGCATGGTTCACAAATGGCTTGATACCGGCGTCATCCCAACCGCATCTTCGTTAAGCACGGGGATACAAATGCTAACTCTTAATCCCCAGTATTCCAGTATTGAAAAGCTCACGCCCTTGATCTCCACCGCCTTGACGTCCGACCGAGCCATATTCATGATGGCGAAGTGCTCCTACAGGACGTCATCCCTTCCGCACATTGCTGGCACGAGACGCTCGATGGTGGACACAAGAGCCGCTCCGTCCTTTTTCCCAGTGACGCCGCAATCTGGTTGCCGGCTTTCTAGGCGCGGATGTGATCGACAGCCTCCTACAAGTGCTCATCGACGTCATCTGCAACGCCCATGTGCGCGGGGTAGATCCACGTTTTGGACTCTTCGTGAGATGCGACCCGTCAGCGATGGCCTCGTTGAAAGGCGCAATGATGGTCTTTCACCTTGGCGTGATCTGTGGATATTATGATGTCAGCACCCACAAGCGCGGTGCTCGACACTGCGTCCAGGTATACGCAAACTATCTCCACGGTAAGGAACGCACCGCTGAAGTGGTCAAAGATATGATGTGAACCGGCCCTGTCCTGATGTGTCGGTGATGCCGAGCGGCTTGAATGCGTCCATGAAGATTTCAACGTATCAGAGCGTTCGAAGGCTGGACATGCGGTTGATGTCCGCCTCCGAGGAATCGAAGGAACCTCCGGACCCAGGCATCTCCTGTGCGTAGCTTCTACAACTTTTGTGCTGTAGTACTTCATCAACGGTATGCACGAGAATGACAGCGAGGCAGACTAATGGAGGGTTACCGTCATCGGAAAACATGCACAAGCAAATGAGATGCTGCATGTTACATGAACAAGGGCTTCGATCGCTGCTTCCGGTGGAAGACACCAACATAGGCTGATAGTAACAAATACGTCCACTCTCACGCATGTCCTGTCCATGTGTTGTATGTTCCGGAATCAAATCGCATTTTCTGAGATCTTCTGGCTCTTATGTCGAGAGTCTCCAGCGCAAACAACCGATCAATCTTACCATCATTTCTCAATATCTGCGCAATGTCAACGGCCTCTCTCATCTCTGAGCTGCTTACCGGTTTGCCCTGAGAGAAGATATCAGCTCCTGTCGGTCTCATTATCATTAATGTTGAACGACTATCCCTTTTAAGGACTTTAACACAGGCTACCCTTCACTCGTGGTGGTCTTAGATCCCGGCATATTCCATCGCATTTGCCATCCAGCATGCTCATTCTTTTGGCTCATCCCCTCCTCCCGGAGAGAAGACCCGAAGAGAAGGGCAAAGACGGTTGAGATGCCAGCTATACATCCTGCCTTCTCATCTCTCTCCAATGCAGAGTACATACCCAGCAGCGTCTCATGCAAGATCTACGCTGTCTCCTATTTCTATAGTGGGACGAAACCGACGTATCCATTGGGATAATATTTGAAGTCTCACCGAAAGTGACATACAAATGCTCCACAGCCACCGGAGAGACTGCTCAGAATGGGTCAAAACGAGATCCAAATCGGTCTAGCACATCTCCAGCGGGTTGACTGGTGACAGCAGCAAGAGAATCAAGGCGTAGAGTATTTGAAGGCCACTCGAAGCAGTGACATGGAGATGAAGCGCGCAGGCAAACCGAGGTACTGCCCCCGGTGACCTACCCGGTATTTGATATTCTCGTAGAACGCTGCGATATATGTGATCTTCTCGCAGGGAACTGCGAGTTGAGTGCCATAGATGCGAAACATCCATCTCCAGGCCTTCGAGACGACATCGGAGGTTGGTACTATGCTATGCCTGGAGTCATAACTAAAGCTGACATTCGCAGTACAGCTGTGATCCGAAATTTCATGAGAGAATAAGTGCAAGGCTTCCATGATTTCAAAGCAAAATCTTCAGCAAAGGCTTGACCACTATAATCTTTTTTCTTTTCACTGTCTCCTCCGTCCTGATTCTCTTCGTCCGCGGATGCAGTCTTCTTCGGTATTGCTGAAGGACTCACCAATGCGGTCATCATCCTCCTCGTTAATTGAGCCGCAGCTGAGAATAGACAAGTCACATGTAATGCACAGAATCTCAGTAGTTGAATGAGACCTTATGCTTATGAGAACCTTAAAGCATCCAACCCTTATCATTCGATGGAACTGCTTGGGAATATTATTCATGGCCATTGCTTTCGTCGGCCAATTGACCCCGATTGTCAAAGGGTCGTCAATGGAGGGAGTACCTCTTGTCATTCGGGGATCCAGCAACCTAGAAATTCGAGTTAGCTAGGGTTGGGGGTCAGCCGCAAAGCATGTTGAATGTGAGGCCTTCCAGGAGAGCTAGACATGATCATGATGCGTCTCATGGCGCATGAGATCTTAAGCCTGCGGAAGGAACAATGCCAGAAGCCTTCAAGTTGGTGTCAAGTTGGTGTAGCCCGTTGTTCGGGCTCTCTAATGAAAGGTCTCTTGAGTGCATGGATGGGGTTCCCCTTCTCCTTTCCATGGCTTATATGGGTAGACTACCCCGAATCCGGTTCATTTTATGTTGCTACTTTGATGGGTTTCCTATAGATGAAAATTTTTGGAGTTGATGATCTCCTTCCGGGTGTTAATTGAGACCCTCATATCTTGTGTGAGACCTGCCAGCGCCGCAAAGATGAGCGACGAGTACCTCTAGCTGTCTGGTCTTCGGGAAGTCTTTGAATGACCATGCGTAGTTTAGAATCGCGCTGGCCGGCGGTTGAGAGCCCATCATGTGATTTGGAGTCCATACCGTGATTCCAGTCCAAAATGTGACTCTAGTCCAAAATGTGACTCCAGTCCAAAATGTGACTCCAGTCCAAAATGTGACTCCAGTCCAAAATGTGACTCCAGTCCAAAATGTGACTCCAGTCCAAAACGTGATTCTAGTCCATGACGTGTCTTCGGCATCACTGCAAACGGCGCGATACGCTCCTTCCTCTCGTCAACTACGCTACGTAATTATTACGACTATTGCGACCTTATGAGACGAGCTTTCATCTCGCCGTCGCTGATGCCGCCGCACTTATCCTCTACGGGTGCCCAGTAGGCAGAAACTTCACCACTTCACCACTTCACCGTTTGCGCCCGCGTAATACAGCGCCTCGACTTCTACTCTACAACGACAGTACCAGATCTCCGGTGAGATCCCTAGCCTACGACCATCGCCGGCAGCCATCTTCGACCGACCAGATTCCTCCTACTCATTCTTCCCTCTTCGGTCCTCGAATTCATCTATTCGAGAGCCCTTTCTGCCCAGTCTTTTTTGGCTCTTGCCAATCACCAGATCCTCCTGCCGATTTCTTTCGCCTCCTGCCCAGTTCGATCGTTCAGATCTTCCTCATCTCCCTCATCCACTTCCAACAGCACGCAAAAGTGGCAGCAAACGTCAGTCACCTACCGTACGCATACGCCTCCAACAGCTGCGGCCGAGGAGAAACGCCCGTGTTCGAGGTGCCACCATCAGTCTGTCCCACACTGTTGCAATTCTTCACCCTCATCTATCCCCTCTACTGACAAGTTCTTCTCTTGTCCAGGCCGATTACGGTCTCACGCATAGTGGGCCGTCTCGTCTAGATGTATACGGGCCGAAGCCGACCTCCAAACCGACCGGATTCTCACCAATACGACATCTTCATCTACCATACCATTTACACTTCTTCACATATGCTGTGCCATTACCCTTCCCTCTACCAAGGAGTCACACCGCAAGACCAGGCTTCTACCCTCCGTCACATCTACAAAAACAACATCAAACGAGCGTTTACGACCTTGCTTATCCCAATTTCATCCCAGCCGTCGCCACCAACGCCGCGCGTCACATCAGCCAAGGGTTTTCGAGGAGGAAAAGAGTATGGAGGACTTGAGAGGCCTGAAGAAGGATTGGCTTGGAGCCTCTCGTTGGCTCACGTTGCCGAGGGCTTTGTCGAGGTATTTGATACCTTGAAACTTGGCCGATTTCTACATGAGGTATTGGAGACCGGACTACAAGCGGGTAGCAATGCCACCTCTGCCAGCCGGTCCAGGTACCTGCGCACCATTGTTTGGAGGCCCGGCGCCGTCTCTACATTGTGACTGGTGGCTGCGGCCGAAGCCAGATCCGAAATGTCGCCATGTCTAGCATCACCACTCGCGCCCATCACAAACCGCGCCTTCTTCTGTTACCAACTACGATAGAACGACTATTACTACAACCACGATATTACGACCTCACGAGCAGAGTTTCCGCCTCGTTGTCAACGTACAACTACGGCCGGTGTCGCCGCCGCCCTTGCTCTCTGCGCGCGCGCTCAGTCAGGCCCAGGCCGGCTTTCTACCTCACAATCACCGCTTCAACACCCATTTGCGCCCGCGGCCACGCCCAGCATTGGTGCCGCGCCCGCCGTCTTCACCCTCTTACTCTCGCCCACGCGAGTACGCGGCGGGACTTCCTCTTTTTACATCAATAACTTCGCCTTATTCCACACAATACTGCCCTATAACTCTTCTACTCTACATCAACAAGGCCAGATCCCTCGTGAGATCTCTACCTTAGACCCTTGGTCATGGCAAAGCTCACCCCAAGCCATGGCCGGGAGCCACTTCAATCGACCAAATCCCTCCAGCCCTCCAGATGCATCACTTTCCACTCTTCTGACATCGGACCCTCTGGCAGGCCCTCGAGAAGTACATCCCCAAGGTCTCTCAGGACCTCTCTGCCGCCTTTGTCGACAAATTCAGTAAGTCTACTGCCTCTAGCCGCAAGACCCTCAACAACGCTCTTGACCGCTGACACTACTTGCGCAGGCGCATAACTGCGTCCTGCAACGACAACCTAGCCAACAACTACTAGGCACTTTAACTACTCGACTTTTTCAAGGATCGTCTCCCCAACTACAGGCACTACACAAACAAGGACACTACAAATCCCAAGTGGTATAAAGTCACCAATACTATCTCTACTCTCGCCTACGACCTCACCCAGGAGGAGGAGGAGAAGACTCTCGCCACCCTGACTTCATCCACCGCCACCAGAGCAACAAAGCTGTCTACGCTCATCATAACTACGAATACTATGATACCACCCACTGACTGCTACCTTGACCATCCCGACCTTCTCCCAGCCGACCATCGCCGTCGGGGCCGCCTACTCGAGAAGGCTGCCCATCACATCTTCTCTGACGCGTGCGCATAGGACCGCAGGACTTCCAACGTCACAGTCACCATCACACCAGCTACTTCCAAGATCGCCGCCGCTTCCTTCGCTCATCTTCTAGGCAGATCTACCATAGACTTTTAAGGAGGACAAGAGTGCTGCAAACTTAAGGGGGAATCACACACATCACGTTAGCCCAAAGAATAGTTAATTTGGAACTTCAGATTAACCCACATTGCCCAGGGATTCGCCAGGTTATTCAATCGTTAGGAACTCGCCGGATTTCGACATTATAGCCTCTATGGAAGGTATTAGTAACCGGGTAGCCAGGAGGTGGCACTACAACCTCTACCAGTAGGGTAACCCGTACGCTCTGGAGGGACTGCATCCATTCCATTTCCATTTCCCTGGCTAGCGGCTGGCGGCTTCACTATAGCCGTAGTAGTCGGGCATACTCTTCCGCTATGCCTCAGTTGGGTATTTCCTTCAGCAGCAAGCGGGAAGGACTACCCTGGCCGGCACCGATGCTGGACCTGCTGCCTTCAGCCGGGGTTTTCGGCCAGGTCTTCCAGATCTATTACGGCGCCGCTGAGAACAGGCAAGATACTTCGTGAGACACGTTTGCCGCCTTTCTATCTTGCCCCATTATAGCCTGCTCGGGAAGAACAGCTGTAGTGGTTGTTCACGGGGGCAACACTCACCATGATGTGGGCATATGATAACGAAGGCTTGGAAGTCGATTCACAGCAATTAGGGAAGTCAAGCCGGAGACACGGCTCAAAGATCCGCACAATTGCATGCCGTATCCTGATGAATGCTCACTCATGTCCGGGTTATGCCCTCCAGAACCATATCCAGTGATAAACTCATTAGGCTGTTGTTGTTGTTATTATTATAGTATTTAACGCCTGCTTTAAACCTCTAAGAGGTATAAGGCGTCTATACTAGTAGTCTACTAAGGATATATATCTATGTATAATAATAGAAAGTAATTTAGGAATTTAATATATATAGCTAAATATATATAAATAGAACTAAAACTAAGTAAATTAAGTATATAAAGAGGCCTTTATAAGGGCCTATTAATTATTATAACCCATTAGGCATAACCAATGAAGGATGCCCCACTAGGATACTGGGCGGTTATGATAACACATTTGTATATAGGATCACGGGAACACGTAAGGATCCCTTAGGAACGGAAGAACTATAGTATAGGTTACGTAACGATAAGATAAAAGATTAGATCTATATAATTAAGATACAGCATCTATATTCCAGAAAGATGGAAGCTGTATGCCAAGGATATAGGAGCCGTATAGGGCATGTATGGCACCTAGCAATAGGACTACCTAGGACCTATATATAGGATGGACTTGAGCCCGCTTGAGGACAAACTTCTATAGCTCTTTAGTAATTAACTTATAATTATTACTTATAATACTTTTAGCTATACCTAAGTAATAATTACTCTATAACTCTTATTAAGGCCTTAACTAATTACTAAGACCTTTAAAGACCTATAATTACTTAACTAGACCTATAAAATAACTAATTACTATTTATAGTTTTTACTCCCTAACTTACTATTAATATAAACCTACTATTAGTTAGCTAGCTATAATACTTTAATTACTCCTATTTAGTAAGTTACCCTTTAAAAACTACTAATAGTATTATAATATTTTTATAACTCTCTAGAAAGACCCCTAGTACTGGATCCTCCTCTAGCGCTGGGAAGGCCCCCGTTAAGAAGAACCTTACTTAAGAACTTAGGGATTAGAGAATAAAAGATAATAGCGATAGTAATAACGATAATATGCTTAAGGAATAGCTTAAACGAGCTAATTATAATATCTAATAGATATAGGAAATATTTAATGCTAACGCCTACGCTACTAAAGAACTTTAGGCTGCTATACGCCTATCTAACTAGTGTACTTAGGAACTTAAATAGTAGAACTATACTCTTTAAGCTACTACTAATATTATTACTACCCCTATTATAGAAGGATGAGAGAAGCTTTAACTTAACTCTCCTAATCCTTTTAATAGATCCCTAGGATAGCTTAAGGGATTCCTTATCTAAGTTAAGAACTACTAGAATTTCTATTATAGTAACTTTAAGAATAGAACTGAGAAGGTTATCTATATGTCTACCTTCCTTAAGGAATAAGCCCTCTAGTGGTTTAAACCCTTCCTTAAAGAATACCTTAATAAGGAAATACTTAACTACTATTCTACTAAAGTTAGAGATATTTTTAGTAGCTTCTAGGGCTTTAAGTCTGCCCTAAAGTCTCTATTCTAAGACCTTAATGAGAAATAATAAGCTAAATGAGACTTACTTTGCCTTAAATAGACCAAGTTAGCTAAGGACTACGCTATAGAGTTCTAATAGATCTACGCCTAGCTGGACTTAACTAATAAAGGTAAGATCTTTATATTCTATAATAACCTTAAGGATAAAGTTAAGGATAAAATTATTAAGGTTAATAGACCTAAGGACTTCCTCTAGTATACTAAGCTTGCTATTAAGATTGATAACTAACTATATAAGTAATGTAAGGAGAAAGGTAAATAATGATAACCTGCTAACTTTAGCTATAAGTACTAGTAGTAGCCTAGATACTATAATAATAATTAATATAATAAACGTAATAGTACTGCCTATAGATACTATAGCGGACCTATAGATCTTAGTGCGGCCTAGTGTAATAATAATAATAAGGGTAATAGCTAGAAGAAGAATATTAAGTGCTATAACTATAATAAGAATAGATACCTTATAAAAGAATATAGAGCACCTAAGAAAGAACGCTTCTAGCTGGTACTTAAGAAAAGATAAGTTAGTATTACTACTAAGGTAATCCCTTATAAATAACTTAGTTAGACTACTTACTTTAATAATAACTATAGAGTTTACTTAGACTCTAAGGAATATATAGGATGGTACCCTAAGAACCCTAGTAGAACGGGATATAATACTACTGGAGTAAAGAACACTAGTGGACCCCTAAATTAATAAACTATCGCTATAGGATATAGAAGCAATAGCAAACTTAAGCGTAAGGCTTAAGAATAACTTAATAGCCTCCTAGAATATGGGGCCCTTAAAGAAAACGGATAGTTTGAGACGTCTGAATATATTGGCCTTAAATAAGAACTAACCTATAACTTAGATAAGCTTTGTGACGTTATATGATAACGTGCTTAGATGGTAGCTATTTATGGGCGTGAACCTAGCATTAATGACACTAGCTCTAAAGAGGACTCTGGTGATGAAACTACTAGGACTAGCAAACGCCTTTAGTACTAGAAAATTGATCCCATAAAGGACGAATAGACACTTGAATTCTTTAGCACCTCAGGAGAATAGTGTGATAGAAACTATAAACTAGAGTTTAGGCTAGATAACTACCTATATTTATATATAGAAAGCAATTACTATTAATACCTCTACTAGCTATAGTGCTTCTTTAATAACTATAAGGAATATCTTAGAGATAAGTATATATATTAATTCTACCCTAGAAGGTATAACTAAGAACCTATTAAGAAGGTCTATT